ATAAAACCTTGAGCTAAGAGTGGTAACAGCTAACTAGAGGGTGCTCAACATTCTTAAACATGTTTTTATTTTAGTCTCTAACATGGCCTGTTTATAAAGCTATTTCTTTCACTCGTACGTGCTCATGCGATCTCCTCTATTCACACAATTGATGCCAAGAATCTAAAACATGTGTTTGTATTGTGTCCAGCTGCTTTGTGGGGTCCAGAATTGGGAAATTACAGACTTTTTTTTTTATTTGCTTTACTAATCACTGCGCCTTACAGCACAAGGCTTTGGCATGAGCTGTAATTGGCATGTAGTGATACGACATAGTGCGTGTGCCCGGGTCACACATGCACCCCAGTCTGGACGCACTCAGATGCCCTCGCAAAGACCAGAGTCAAGCCCTGACTAAACGCACACTCGGCTAATTAGTGTCTACACCCACCAGTCTCGTCCCTTTGAGTATGTTGTGCTTTGAGTTAAATTAAAACGTGTATCAAAACCAACATTACGGCTTTGATTGCCTCAGTTCGCCTTAAGCCCCATGACCTTACAGAAGTAAAGCTGGGATACCTAACTTCCAAACCACTACGTTGGTTTTTCTTACAAGGTGCTATCTTTAAGCGGTTTGGTAACATTATTAGTTTACATATTATTTGGCTCTGGTCACATCAGTTTTTTCAGACAGAAAAGTGAAAGTTCTTTCTTACAGGTACACAAAAGAGGGAGTGATGCCTTCAGCGTAGAGCAGTAGAGAGTGTTTGGGCCTGTGTCTTGTCTGAGCGTCACGTCATGTCATTTTCTACCCCTTTATTAATCCATTTCTGGGTCGGGGGGGGTCCCCCGCTGATCCTCCTGCAGGTGGTGGGTCCACGGGAAGATGGCTTCTCCGTCATCGACGAGATGGCCTTGGTCTTTCAGAGCGTGTCGGTCTTGTCTGAGCGTGTCGTCTTCATATGATATTGTATTGAACCTGGCCTCCTCCATCTACACCTGTGCACTGCCCTGTCCGACCCGCCTGGGAGTTGCTTCAGTCCTGCATCGGACCTGTCCACGTCCTGCGGCCGCTGCGTGGCCTTAGTCCTCGTTCTGTAGCTTAGGTCCTGGATCTATAGCCCGTCCGTCCATGGACGCGGATCCCTCTCTCAATGTGGACCTTCTCGAGGTTTGTCACATTTTTCCACTGGGTTCTAAAGTTTTTCCATGCTGATGCAGGAGAATCTGTTGGACAGTTACTGTCCAGGACACTCTAACATTCTACAACATTTATGGACATTCATCAACATTCATGGACTTTGATCTCTCCCTATGCACCAATACATATGTAAGGGATAATGTATAGTAGTCAGGTCATTATCGGAAAATATGTACCGACAGTCGCCATTATCCCGTTTATTATACGGCTTTGTACCAACAGAACACACAACATAAACTTCAGTCCACTTTTATGAATGCCAAAAAGATTATTTAATGACTGCAAATAAAATAGTTCCCAAAGGTTTTCCCGTGGCTATGCGATCAACAGTTAGTCTAGCAACTTCCAAACTAGAACTCTCTCGAACTGGATGAAAACTGAACAAAGAATTTGGAACATCAGCGATGAGTGACCAAACATAAACTCAACCTAAATTCATAATTCGATCCTCTGTAAATGTGTCCTAAAATGTCCCGGAATGTACTTCCGGGTTGGTCACGATCTCGCATCAAAACAGTATTTTTGTCTGTGTAATTCTGAAAACCTCCGTGCATGTATATTAAAAATGTATATGTATAATGTATATTATCAAGAAATAATGACCGGTAGAGCGTTTTGAAAATACATTCAAATCAATGGACTGTTTTACTGCTGCTGTGAGGAGCCGTGTAATAAATAGATAAATAAATAAATAAATTCCTTACTTTTTATTTGCCCAAGCAATTTCCTTGTGGGCGACTGCTTTTTACTCACAATGGCAATAAAAAAAATCAGATTCTGATCCAACATTGGAAGGCAATATGGTCTCCTAGTTTTAGATTATCTCTTGAGTGGACAAAGCATAGTGTTAGCCTGACTGTGAAGAGCCCTTTAGAGCTAGCTTGAGCAGGCTCTTTGAGTGGGAACCAAGCCAAGATGGCGCCGTATTCAAATGAATGGTTGTGCTCAGTGGCGCTTTGTGACGGCATGGGGGCTGAAAGATTAGCGGATGTCGCCTGTAACTCGCAAAGATCTATGGGAAACTCGCCTGTATTTGGGCATCGTCTGGTCCTCCCGGTTCTGCGCAGTGGATGATCTCCCATAATGCGTTGCGCCAAACACGCGTGTGTGGGTCTCACACCGGGTCTCACGCACGTGCACAGAGGGGCTCGGCCGCGCTCTGACCAATCAGAGCAGTTCATCAGAGCGGGAGTTAGAGCGAGAGCCAGACGAGCAGAGTTTGTGGCACTAAAGTGTGGATTTAAAGAAAACCGAAGGATTTAAGAAGAAAAAAAGTTCAGGATGACAAGGGACACTAAAATCCCCACAAAATCCGACCTTTATGAAAGCTGTAGGTTCTCTGTCAGTTGAAGTCGAGCTGTTTTAATTTACATTGCGTACTAATGGGGAAAATTTCTGGGTAGCCCGCTTGAATTTAGTCTGGTTCAGTCTGCAGTACCGCGAGAATCCCCTGAGCACATGGGTTCTTCAGCTACAAGCTAGTAATACCATATCCAGTTAATATAATAGATCCATGGTGGGAACGCGGAGCTAATTTTATTTTGTAGCAACAGCTGAGTTACCAACAGCCAATCAGGAGAAGCACCAGTTTGTCCTCACTCGCGCTACTTGCTAGCTTAGGCCAATTTGGCGACCAAAGGCTCCTGATTGGTCAGTTGTTTGGGTTCATATCTGGATGACACCAAGATTGAAGAGAGCGCTAAACCATGGATTTATAAGCCCAAAATGGTGACAGTGACAAAAACAGTTACTAAGTAGTAGTTAGGGGGTTAACATTGCCCATATAAACAGTTACAGTGATTTTTACCCATTCAAAGAGCTTGGGTTTTCTAGTTTAAGCTTCGAAATAACATTTTGCAAGTAAACAATAGCAATAATTTATTAGCAACTGTAATCTAATCACAAGTTTTATCACTTTTCTAAACTTACTAAGTTAGTTGACAGTAATCTATTGACAGAATAAGCATCTGTATGTGAGTTACAGTTTGGTATGAAGTGACTAAAGCCTGAGAGCTTCTGAGAGCAGCCCAGTGATGTCTGCTGCATGTGCTGGAGGTGAGTGAGGGAGTGATGAGCTGGCGGTTCCCTCTCTCCGCTCGCTCGTCTCAGAGGCAGAGCATTCCATGGTGCGTGCTCGCTGTGGAGGCTCATGGGTAATGTGGAGGTGTCTGGAGGAGGAGAATTAGAGGCTCCACGCTGCTACGTGTCTGCTGCTCTGGATCAGATGGCACAGGCCGCTCGTCTCCCTCGGCTCATCTGCTTCTTAATATGTGCTTTGGCCTAAATTACAGCCTACCTGCAGTCGGCCCGGCGCGCTCACACCCTCTGGAGGGGGAGGCAAGGGGATCACCCATATAAACCTTTATTTGGACAGGGGGCCGCTAAAAAGGCTTTTATTATTGACTGCCAATAACAATCATAACGTCTGCAGACCCCATAATTGTGCAGGTATTTCCAACAAGAGGCGAGTTAAGCGCGCTGCAGCCACACGTGTAAAAATGTGACATCTGGTTGGTTCATAAGAAACAGAACAGTTAATTTTTGGAAGACGGTAACTTCCAACACACAGGAAAAGTCTTTGCTAAAAGGTCTCCACTTTGTTTTATGAGTAAAAGGAGATGTCAAGATGAAATGGTCAAGCTGTCAGAGAACATGAATGATATCACCAAACAAAAAGAGCAAAAGATAGTGTTATTGTTTACTATAATTAGCACCGTAGTACCCATTGTTTGTACAGCACCAACCAATGATGTCTGAGAAATAGTCTCATATCACATGTTTTATGCAGATACATGCAATTAAATCAGGCATTCCTGGTAACATTTCTTGCATAATTGTTTTATTAAGTACAGTATTGTAATTTGATTCATGTTGTTGTCAAACCTTGTATATCTTTGCTTCTCAGATGAACTAAATTAAGGCATAATCCTAGCCCAGCTAAACAACTTTTCAATGCAATCCAACATTACACGGGCAGTTCATTTTATTCCAAGACTGCATTTGAAAACAGTGGTCATCCTCATTACACTAGAACATACGATGAACGCTACACAAAAACAGAAGGTGCCGTGTGTGTAAACCTGACAATAACTGGCATCAATTAGAGCCAAGTGTTGATGAGCAAAGCTGAAAGCGGGAACAATAGAAGTTTCAGGTCAAACTGAATCAGCATGAGACAAAGTCAAACTAAGCTAAACACATCAAACAACAGAGCCGTGTTCAGCACATGTTCACAGCTTGACAACTCGGCTGTAAAAGTCTCTCGGAAAGTCCAACGGCTCAACGAAAAAGTGCAGGATAAACTAAAGACATTTATGGTGGCACATCAGCACAAAAGAGCCGGATTACGCTGTTAAATAGTTTGCAATACTAAACAAAAATAATGAAATAAGTAGGAAGTGGAGAATAGTGCTGGTTGATGCTCCGTGGATCGGGTTTCCTCTGACTCTGGCCTAGTGGAAGGAGGGACCTGCTTCACTACTGTCGTCTCTGCTTGCTTTTTTTTCTGCTCAGAAGGAGGGGTCCACTCTTGTCTTCCCTAAACGTGAGCAGGCAGCGGGCTAATGAGGGTGCGCCGCAGTACCTCCCAGCCCTCCACACTCCACGTATAAAAGCCCCTGTGGACGCAGAGGGTAGGCAGTAGGGAGTTTTCTGCAGGGGTCAGGAACACCGGTGATCGGAACAAGCAATCCCTGCCCCAGTGTATGAGTGGAGTGTAGGAGACCCAGAAGACCCCTCCAGTTCCCTCCTTTGAACCTCCTTTCTTGCCCCAAAGAGTCTACATGTCTGGTGGCATCTAGACATGTTCAGCTTTGTGGATATGCGGCTAGCGCTGCTGCTCGGCGCGGCGGTGCTCCTGGTCAATGCCCAGGGAGAGGACGACCGTAAGTTTCAGCCACAGGGGATTCTGAGAGCCACTTTATTTTTGCTTTTTTTTGTTTTTTACCTGCTGCTTTCTGTGGATATCCCATCGGGCGTGGACCTTTGCTAGAGGCAGAAGAGAGAGAGAGTGAGAGTGGAGAGCGGAGCGGGCCAGAAGATGCTCATCGTTGAGAATTCAAGCTAAAGTCTTAGTTGTCAAGAGGATTCTGATAGTTTAAGCTTCTGTACAGGACATCTCACAGACGTTTGAGTTTGCCCTGGCCTCTCCTGCATTGTCAAAGTGTTGAGAGCGAGTCTCTGCAGGTTTTCTTCTCAGTGAGGCGTTTAAAAGGCAACCAGGCAGGCTTTGTATATGGCCATAAACTTCTGGAATTGCTTACATAGTTTGCAGACAGCTGATAAGTTCCAATACAAGTCCAAGATGTATCAAAGACGATGTTGAAAGTTGTTTGAGTTTTTGGGGTTTGAAATAACCAAAACACAAGGTCCTCCATGCAGAAAGGCATTGGTCGGGCTTTAGGGATGTGACAGGGAAAAGCACAGCCTCAGGCCAACAATTCAGCAGGCCAGGTGAGAGTGTGAGGTGAGCAGGCGTAGTCTTGTCTGTTAGAGGAGAAGAGACTGCTTTTTTTCCTCTAAATCTTCCTGCGTTGGGAAGACACCAATTGAAACGTGGGAAGACAAAAGAAAGGGGCCCTGGAAAAAAAGGCCACATAACCCAAAGTCAGTTTTTCCAGATGTGGTTCTTCTGTCTGGAGGAGTTCAGCTGTGGTTTGGGGGGGAGGCCTGAAATAAGTTTATGGACTCACAGCGCCACCTAGAGGGACTCCCAGCTCCAGGCATCAACATCTGGCAGCCACGTCCCCTGCTCTCTTCCCCCCTCCTTCCTCAGATCTCTGCTTTTTTTTGCTGTTCCTAATGGCAAACACATGCGGAGTGTTTCCAGGCCCTGCTGCCAAGCCGACTTCTCTCTCTCTCTCTCTCTGAGCTCAGCACTCAGGCACGTCGCGCAAGGCCCTAGAAAGAGGCCCCGAGAAGCTTAATGCTGCAGTTGATGTAGGAAAAAGTGATGCTCAGGCATTCGGTGTAGAGCTGTGTCAATGGAAGTTTTGGGCTGTTTTATCAATCCACTTGGGAGCTTGTGTAAATGTCCATACACGTTTCTCTGGTCCTATATAGTTGGCTTCTCTTGCTTTTGTCACCTAAAAAGCAAAAACACAAGAAAATATATGTTGTGGTCAACGTTTTATTCATTATTATTTAACACACACAACCCATTACATTTTAAATCGTTTTTAAAGGCATTGTTATTCATGTTATTCGTCAAAAAACCTAATTAACAGCTAATTTTGAAGTTTTTATACTTTTTCAAGTGGAGAAGTTATTCAAATGGTGGCTCTTTCATCAGCAATAACATCCAGAAAGTAACATCTCTATCTTACATGTGTCTGGTAGAAAAGAACCAATAACTTAGACCTCTCTTAGAACATTAACTCTACAACACTTTCTGCAGTTGTTTTATTCATGCATAATCTGTTTTTCAAACCACTACATGTAAACACCACACACTAATCTTACAGACTGCTATAAAGTTGGGTCCGTGTGTGTCTGCGTGTGTGTAGGCCTCAGACAGTGCTTCCATCGTCCCAGATGTGTGACCTTTGTTTCTCCCCTCTCTCTGGCGCCCCCTCAGGCTCAAGCGGGAGTTGCACCATGGACGGCCAGGTGTTTGCGGACCGGGACGTGTGGAAACCAGAGCCGTGCCAGATCTGCGTGTGCGACAGCGGCTCCGTGCTCTGTGACGCTGTGATCTGCGAGGACGTGGACTGCCCCAACCCCATCATCCCCCACGACGAGTGCTGCCCCATCTGCCCCGACGACGGTGCGACAACACACGCATGCTGCACGTTAGTCTCAGGTTTTCATACCAACAAAGCAGGACTCCACCCACTTTGTCAGGTCTCCAGGTTTAGACTGGACTCACCTAGGGAAGGATTTAACATCACTGGTTTTAGAAGATCAACGGGCGGATCAGCTGGTTATGATTATTATGATTTCGTATTTTGTACATTTTATTATTATTATTATTATTATTTGTAAACCTTTTATTATTATTATTATTATTGTTATTGTTATTATTATTATTATTTGTAAACCTTTTATTATTATTATTATTATTATTATTTTTATTATTATTATTATTATTATTATTATTGTTATTACCACAATAATCACAGTGTGTGAAAGGTCCCGAGCAGCCAAATCTTATATTGCTTTGGGATTGATTTTGCAATGCATTCATTTATCTATGTGTTTAACTGTTCATTTAAACTTTGACGTTTCCTTTTGGGGGGACTCAAGTTATGGAGGATTTTGTTCATAAATGTTTCCCACCATGAATTCAAGACCTCTATACTATCAATACAAATGGCTATATTAAAGAGGTTAATCTATTGTTATATCAGAAATACAAATTCCGAGGTTGACACGGTAAAAGAGAGTTTATGTCTGTCCATTCAAAAGCCTTTTATGTTTGTGCTTGTTATGTATTTTGTATTATTATTATTATTTCAGTTTTGCTAGACTGTATTATTTTTATTTTTTTCATATCAAATCCAATGTATTTACAGATTACATTTAAAAACTCCAAAGCATAATTGTTTTTCTTATTTACAAATACGGATAAAGTATTTCCAAGAGGCTTGTGACTACTAAAGGCTACGAAGAACTTTTGGAATACTTTTTTAATTTAAATCTTGGTTTAAAACTGCTTGATTTAAACCTTATCGGAGTAGGCTTTGGTGAAATGTTTATAGAGGAATGTACACAAAATGTAGTCTAGAATCTTATATTATTATGTTTATGCTAATATCAACCCATCTCTGTGTTCCTGCAGGCTTCCAGGATGTGCAGGTTGAGGTAAGAACATTTCTGTATTTTATGTAGTTAAAGAAAATCACAATAGTTTTTCACACATCAGAACAATATTAACCACTTGAATTTGAGTCTGAAATAAAGATGACAATTTTTAATAACAATAATGACTGTTTGAGCACTCCAAACTCTTTCTCAATGAAAGCAATCTTGTTTCCTTTGTTTATGTTTTGCTAAATAAATACCATAAATAAACACCAATAAATTGTATAAATGGTGTTTTTTTTGTTCCCATAGGGCCCCAGAGGAGAGCGTGGAGCAAAGGGAGACCGGGTAAGCATTTTAGAGAAAAGTCTTTTGTGCTTGATGTCTGCTGCGCTGCTCTACTGTTTTTCGGATTGAGGTCAATGTCGTGAAGATCTGTGCTTCTCAAAGTGTGGGGAGGGGGCCATGGTGCCAAATCATTTCAAGATTTAATTACATATGCTTTTCTGTGTATTTTGCTATTATTTCACACGAAACACGCCTTTTTCAGTGAAAATAAGTGTGTAATAAACATAATGGGAATGGATTTAGCATGTTGACGCTGCTTTTAATGTTATTTAGCAGTGCATAGGCCGGGCGCTGAAATAAAACTGTGTCAATTCATTGTTCAATAATTGATGGATAAAAACAAACTTTTTGAGACTCAATTTGTTTATTCTGCATATTATTTTTGCATGGAGTAGATACATAGAAAAGAAATGTCTTTGTCCTGCTGTACTGCATTTGTACCAGTGGCATGAAGTAGTCAATATTATAGTTTATCACAGAAGCAATGCATCGTTTGTTAAAATAAGTTTGGTGACAGGCCTGAAAACATTGAAAACGCCTTTTTATTATTTACATATGGAGAAGTGATATTCCATACTTCAACTAAAAATGTCAAATTTGGAGCCGTTTTAGACATCAACATTTAAAATATTACTTTAATAAATCAATACTTTATGACCTGCTATGTGGTACTATGTGGTACTATGTGGCTGTACTATGTGGAGCGTGACTCACGGCTTCTGGGTTTTTGAGTTAAATAGAGTCTGGAGAAAGTTGCTCGTGCTGAGGTCAAGCTCTGACACGCACAACATAAAACTGGCTCAGTTTCATTTTAAGACCACATACTTTGAAGAACTTAAAGAAAAACCAAGTCCACCATGTGTCCATAGTAGTCAAAGTTTAAAGATTGTATTTCTATAGAAACAATCATGAGAAGCACCATAGGCAATATTTCATATCTTATATATGTGTTTTCCATGTTGCACTAACAAAAGAATCAAACTGATGTTTAGTCACTGTCAGTGGGTTCGTAGGTCGGACAGACAAGTTACATGGCGTTGCTTTAACTATCGTTCTCTGAATCTGTGTTCTGTGTCGTCATCTGTAAAAGTCCTGTATCCTGTTTATGGCTGAGCTCTAATGCTGATGTGAAAACTGACTTTTGAAAGTGTATTGCTTTCTTTTAACTTTTGACCTCTAAAAATGAAGCATCAGCTCAGAAAAAGTCACATGACTGATGCAATATTTACTTCCTGGTTGGTCACACGGTCTGCTACTACAAACAGAAACTGAAGCAAATGTTTATGTGCTACTTCAGTCATTCTAAAGTGCATCCATGTAATTATGTATTTTCTTTCTGTAGGGACCTGCTGGCCCTGCTGGCAGAGATGGTATGCCTGGACAACCTGGACTTCCTGGACCTCCCGGCCCCCCCGGACCCCCTGGCCTTGGTGGAGTAAGTTTCAGAAAACAAATGTTTGCAATGTTTTTGCATAATTTGTCCTTTTTGGCATCTGGAGATAATGTGCACAGCTAATGCAGATGCATGTGTTGAATCTGCACCTGTTCAGTGAAGTCAAGTGCTAAAGAGCATCATGTGAACATCTTTTCATAAAGGAACGAGAACAGAATTGAACTTCCGGTCAGTCTGAGGTCAGGGAAAAGTCACAAGGTCATCAGCTCTGATGGTTTCCTGAAAAATAATACTTCAATGATTGTAGCTATTATTCATGAATAATGTTAAAGTAATGAATAAGATTTGGTGGATGTGAAAGATAAAACATCCATATAATTAATTTGAGTTTTGTTTAAATGTGAAAATAGGTTTTAATGTCATGATTGTTTCTGTGTAGAACTTCTCTCCTCAAATGTCTGGAGGCTATGACGACAAATCCCCTGCCATGCCTGTGCCTGGACCTATGGTGCGTATGGACACACATGGGAATAGAAGTCTTTATACAAACTTACCTATTCTTGTTTTATATACAGGGCCCTATGGGACCCCGCGGACCCCCTGGACCTGCTGGCGCAAGCGTAAGTTCACCTTCCTGTAAGAATAAGAACAGAAATCATTTTTTTATATTTGTAAAATGTATAAAGATGATGATTTACACCTCTGCGGCCATCCCTTTTAATTGCCATGTTTACATTCCTTGGCAAAATGATGGGATTGTGACAATAATTATGATTCACAATCAGTGCAAATATATCGGGACACTCTCAAAGGGATAAAGATTTTTAACTGTTTCCATTATAGAACAGCTGTCTGTAAAAATCTGCAGTATCCTGGTGTAAATCATTTGTTCTGTTTTATCTCCATGCGTCCTCCACAGTGTGAAATAATAATGATGTTTGTCTCCCCCTACAGGGACCTCAGGGATTTACCGGCCCCCCTGGTGAGCCTGGTGAGGCTGGAGCTTCTGTAAGTACTCATCAATAATCACATACAGTCACTTACTCATGCTGCTTATGTTGTCTTCTGACTCATCTTTGGTCTCTTTCACCAGGGTCCCATGGGTCCCCGTGGCGCAGCTGGTCCTCCTGGAAAGAACGGAGAGGATGTGAGAACATAATATAAAAGTGATGGTTGACTTCTAATCTGTTGCATGTGTGAAACTTCACAATCTGTATTTTTAGGGTGAGTCTGGCAAACCCGGCCGTGGTGGTGAGCGTGGACCTGCTGGCCCTCAGGTAATCTCTATTACAGTGTTTTTGTGAAAGAGTGAAAAACAAAAGCCTAATACAAGCATCATGTGTTTAGGGAGCTCGTGGATTCCCCGGAACTCCTGGACTCCCCGGAATCAAAGGACACAGAGTGAGTTTCTCCAAGAGATCCTCGCTTGGCTTAAGAACCACACATGAGACTGACATTATGCTCTGTCTCTGTAGGGATTCAGTGGTGCTGATGGCGCCAAGGGAGACAGTGGCCCCGCTGGACCTAAGGTACGGCCGCATTCTGCTCATTTTAGTTAAGGCAAATTCAGCCGTATCCTCCATGAGAGTGAGTAAGTGTAGTTTAAACAATTAGTGAGATTTCTAGTTGTTAATATTTAACACAGAAACAATGGGATCTGTTCAAAAGTTTTATGTGTAATGAATGAACAGTTGCAAAAATACTTGACAATTGAAATATAAACAGAAACATTTTTGCAAAATCCCATGCATTTTAAAAACATGGCTTTATACACGGTTACATCACAACTGAGTTAACCTCATTTTTAATAAATGATAGATTTATGATTAAAGCAGTAAAAAAATTCCATCCTACATGAAACTGGACATTACGATACAGAGAACACACACACCCATAGAGTTCTGCTGTTGTACACAATAGTATTTTTTTCTGAAAGCTGCAACTTTCTTTGTTTGTTTGGATAAAACATTTATGCTGGAACAGACATTTCCAATTGTCTGAAGAACAATTATATCAGTATATCAATTATGTTATGAAGAAAAATTATATCAGTAGCAAGAGATGTGTATTCTTAAAGCCGTTGTGTAAACATAAATCATTGATGTACTCACCTTGATGTTGTAGGGAGAGGCTGGGTCCCCTGGTGAGAACGGTACTCCTGGTGCTATGGTGAGTAGCCACATTGCTGCCTTCTTGGACTCTTGGATCTCTTTCCACTGAAGTCTAACCTGTGGTCCTTGTCCAGGGACCTCGTGGTCTTCCCGGTGAGAGGGGCCGTACTGGTGCCAATGGAGCTGCTGTAAGTACACAAACTATGATTGTACACTAAGAAAGGTAATTATCTATTTATCTCACCAAACTAGACCAATAGTTAACTAACTATAGTTAAAGCAGAAATCAAAGATTATTCTGACTCTGAATCAATCCATTGCCCACTTCTTAACCTGTCCCCCCGTCCTTTATAAAGTCACTTTACTGCCCATCATACGTCACTTTACTCCACTGTACTGCTGTCACCTTACATTGTGTGCACCATGTGCACTTGTATATTGTAAAAAGTAACTGTAACTCTATTTTAAATTTAAATTTATTCCTTAGAAGTGTTTTTTATTCTTTATTTTTATTATCTCTTTCTGACTGTTGCACTGAGCCAAAGCAATTTCCAAGTCTGTGACTTCCTGTTACTTACGTAGCAATAAAAATGATTCTGATTCTGATTAAAGGTGCAATGCACAGCTCCACTACCCACTTGTTTCTATGAACTTTCATTGTTTGGAATGTACCTTTTAGTGTGATTAAAAAAATAAAAAATACAGAGGTATTTACTGCTCAAAAACTTTAATTCAAACATTGTGGGAGCTTGCCTATACACAGACAAGACTTTTAGATGACAGAGAGCTAGCCAAAATGATTGAAATCAAAACCATCTTGCGTTACACCTTCATCTTTTGCTTCGCTCCGCCTACAATCAAATAAGAGCGTTACTACTCTTGAAGTCTTTTTATATTGATCCAACCTTGTGTGTTGCAGGGAGCTCGTGGTAACGATGGTGCCGCTGGTGCAGCTGGACCCCCAGTAAGTACTCACGGCTTTTAACAAAATAAATGACCAACATGACACGATATCATTTGGTTTGACCTTTTCTGTCTCTTTTTAGGGTCCCACTGGCCCCTCTGGACCTCCTGGATTCCCTGGTGGCCCTGGATCCAAGGTACATATATGGACATTATTTTGTTTACGTTTCATCCCAAATATGATGTTGACTTTTAAGCCTTTCTTGTGTCATAATGGTTTCATGTATATCATCTGTGTATTTCTTAAAAATAATTCTTGTTCTCGTTCAGGGAGATGTAGGAGCTCAGGGAGGACGTGGGCCAGAAGGCCCCGCTGGTGCCCGAGGTGAGCCTGGTAACCCCGGACCTGCTGGCCCTGCCGGCCCCTCTGTAAGTGACCGTCATGTCTTTCCAAATGTGCCTTTCGGATTTGAACATATGAAAAGTTCCTCAATGCTTTGATATAAAACGGTCGGATTCTCCTAGGGAAACCCTGGAACTGATGGAGCCTCTGGAGCCAAAGGAGTCCCTGTAAGTACTTCTCTAAAAACAAATGAAACTGTGTCAATGAAAGAGAACATTCAGACTCAAAACGAGACAAGCAAGATAACATTCTGTTGTTGTATGCTGCCCTCTACAGGGTGCCGCTGGAATTGCTGGAGCTCCCGGTTTCCCCGGACCCCGTGGACCTCCTGGACCTCAGGGTGCAGTCGGTGCTCCTGGAGCCAAGGGTAACACTGTGAGTAATGCTTTTTGTGATGATAACTATGAACTTAGTTGTCATGACATGTTTTCTAAACTCTTCTTGTGCACAGGGTGAGGTTGGTGCTGCTGGAGCCAAAGGAGAGCCTGGTGCTAAGGGAGAGGCCGTAAGTCCAGCACAATCCACATGTTCATGTAAGTACGAATGCTTAGTCACATTACAATATTGTGTGTTTTATTAGGGTGTTGCTGGAGTCCAAGGACCTCCAGGATCACCTGGTGAGGAAGGCAAGAGAGGTGCCAGAGGTGAGCCTGGTGCTGCTGGAGCCCGTGGAGCCCCCGGAGAGAGAGTACGTATTGGCTGTAATATTGTATTATTGATAAGCATTTATTTTAAAACAGTCCATTAGAATCGGCTTGCTAGTGCCACACTATAAGCCAACTGAGGCATAGATTATATGTTTAATGCCTGCTCACACCTGCATAAATGGTAACTACGTATAATTGTATTGTTCTTAGGGTGCCCCTGGTGGTCGTGGATTCCCTGGAGCTGATGGCCCCGCAGGTGCCAAGGTCAGTTATATAAATGATTGAAACTATATTATAATATTGTCTTAATATTTATATTTGTAAATGTTTCATTTAAATAGGGTGCCCCTGGTGAGCGTGGTGCCCCCGGTCTGGTTGGAGCCAAAGGTTCCACTGGTGAGTCTGGTCGCACTGGTGAGCCCGGTTTGCCTGGAGCTAAGGGAATGACTGGAAGCCCTGGCAGCCCTGGCCCTGATGGAAAGACTGGACCTGGCGTGAGTCTTTGTTCATGAGCATAAGATTACAGTTTGATTTAGAGAAGACTAAAATCAAATCAATGCTACAGGGAGCCCCAGGACAAGATGGTCGCCCTGGACCCCCAGGACCTGTTGGAGCGAGAGGCCAGCCCGGAGTGATGGGATTCCCCGGACCCAAGGGAGCTGCTGTGAGTAGTTTGTGTGATGCTGAGATGATTATAAATTTGAATTTATAACAAAATGGTCGGTGTCTGTCACCTAGGGTGAGGGTGGAAAGCCTGGCGAGAGAGGAGTGATGGGACCTACTGGACCTGGTGTAAGTTTGACACCACATTATTCTGAAATGATATTTGGGATACTATATTTTACTAATACTACTTTGTCTCTTCATAGGGTGCTCCTGGAAAGGACGGTGAAGTTGGTGCTCAGGGAAATGCCGGTCCAGCTGTAAATATATTAAAGCCTTTTTTACATAAGAAACAATGTTAAGAGTGCAGATACTGATTGCTCTGTCTGCTGTCACTAAGGGTCCTGCTGGTGAAAGAGGAGAACAGGGAGCTGCTGGACCTCCAGGGTTCCAGGGACTTCCTGGACCTCAGGGTGCTGCTGGTGAGAGTGGAAAACCTGGAGAGCAGGTAATGATCTAATCCAAATAACAAACCAGTTGGAAGCTGAGGGGATCCTGATCACAATCCTGTTCTCTTGCATCTGTGAAGGGTCTGCCTGGAGAAGCTGGTGCCCCCGGACCTGCTGGATCTAGAGTGAGTCACTTTGTTTATCAGTGCAAGTGTTTGAACTGGTCGTTTTGATGGGAGAAGAGTTTGAATGTGGTGTGTTGTCCATAGGGTGACAGAGGATTCCCTGGTGACCGTGGTGCTCCTGGTGCCATTGGACCTGCTGGTGCTCGTGGAACTCCTGGCTCTGCTGGAAACGATGGTGCCAAGGTAAATCACAATGGCTTCATCTATGTTTTTAAATCAAAATGTATAGTACTAGTCTAAGTTATCTTGTTCATTTCAACTCTAGGGAGATGCTGGTGCCCCTGGTGCTCCCGGAGCCCAAGGAGCCCCCGGACTGCAGGGAATGCCTGGAGAGCGTGGTGCTGCTGGACTTCCAGGACTGAAAGGAGACAGAGTAAGTTTTCTGTGCCTCGAATCATTTCCTCCACTTTATGACATGAATGTAGTCAGTGACAGATTGTTAAATATTCTTCATCCTTTAGGGAGATCAAGGAGCCAAGGGTGCTGAAGGTGCCCATGGTAAGGATGGTGCCCGTGGTATGACCGGACCTATTGGACTTCCCGGACCTGCTGGTGCCTCTGGAGACAAGGGAGAGCCTGGCCCCTCCGGACCTGTTGGCCCCTCTGGAGCTCGTGGTGCCCCTGTATGTTTATAACATTACATTTCTAACTGACATAAAAGCATAACCTCATTGTACATTTCTGCTTAACTAAAATTAGGGTGAGCGTGGAGAGTCTGGACCACCAGGACCAGCTGGATTCGCTGGACCTCCTGTAAGAGCACTATTGCAGTAGAAATATTGCTATGCATATATATGTACTGTATATATATATATATATATATATATATATATTGAAAATGTTCTTTTGACATTATTACTATAGGGTGCTGATGGACAGCCTGGTGCCAAGGGAGAGTCTGGAGACAATGGTGCTAAGGGAGATTCTGGCCCCCCTGGAGCTGCTGGTCCCACCGGTGCCCCTGGACCCCAGGTTTGTTCACTGTAATGAATTATCAGCAAATGCCTCATCCCACAGGACATTAGACGTAACCAACTGTGCATTGCTTTTCAGGGTCCCCTTGGAAACACTGGCCCCAAAGGAGCTCGTGGAGCCGCTGGACCTCCTGTAAGTCACAGCTTTACCAGCACTACTGGCATTTACTTATTGATAATGTAGTAATTTTAGACAAAGTATAAAGAATTGTATGTCTTAACAAAAACATGGCCAGAGTTGTCTGAGATCCATTCATGCGTATTTGCTCTGACAGAAATTGGTCCCTGTCTCAATTCTAAAATCTCAAATATGGTGCAATGTGAGGAATCCGAATCCTTTTCTGCTTGACAAAGTGTTGCCTAAAAATTAGTCAAATAATGCAAAATTGAGTATACCAAGCAATCTGAGATATTTCCTAAAAAAGCAGAATGGAGTTCCCCACTTCCACCACTAGATGGAGATTTTTCTCTCTGCAAGATCATTTCACCTCCATACATGTTTGTTCTCCATGGTCAAGTACATCTTGTATGTAATATTATATCCAAACCTTTTGAATACTTGTAGGGTGCAACTGGCTTCCCTGGTGCTGCTGGCAGAGTCGGACCTCCCGGCCCCTCTGTAAGTTTTTCTCTTTGAATATTGTTTAGTCGAAGGTGTTGTTGTCATTGACAGCATCTTGAACTTAATTGGCTCTTCAATGATTAGGGCAACTCTGGACCTGCTGGACCCCCCGGACCCGGTGGCAAAGAAGGACCCAAAGGCAACCGTGGTGAGACTGGTCCTGCTGGTCGCCCCGGTGAGGTTGGTCCCGCTGGTCCTCCTGGAAACCCCGGAGAGAAGGGTAGCGCTGGTGCTGAGGGTGCTTCTGTACGTTCTTCAAGTTTCTTATGTGTCTTGAAGGTTAAGATTATTATAGCTCTCTGTTTGTCCTTCAGGGTAGCGCTGGTATGCCTGGACCTCAAGGTATTGCTGGATCTCGTGGTATTGTTGGTCTTCCTGGACAAAGAGGAGAGAGAGGTTTCCCTGGACTGTCTGGACCTGCTGTAAGCCTTTACCCCATTGTCAGCTAAGAGACAGATATATTACATATGTATCTACAATGGGTATCTGTATTGTGTTCATAGGGAGAGGTAGGAAAGGCAGGATCTCCCGGCCCCGGTGGTGAGCGTGGACCTCCTGGACCGATGGGACCTCCCGGACTTGGTGGTGCTCCTGGTGAATCCGGGCGTGAAGTACGTTTTTATTTAATGAGATCTAGTCTTTCCACACTGCATTTTGCAATATTGTTAACTGACTTTGTGTTTCAGGGAACCCCTGGTAATGAGGGAGCTCCTGGACGTGATGGCCCCGCTGGACCCAAGGTAAGTCCTACATAGTTCATGCCGTGCGAATTTGAAGTTTGAGATTTGCGATGAACTCAAATATGAACGTTTCTGATCAGGGAGATCGCGGTGAGGGTGGTGCTGCTGGTGCCCCTGGAGCTCCTGGACCTCCTGGCGCCCCTGGACCAGTTGGACCTGCTGGAAAGACCGGTGACCGTGGAGAGACTGTATGTGTCAAAGTAATCTTCAATTTATTTTTAAGGTTGATCAATAATAAGTTGTGTGGTTCCAGGGACCCGCTGGCCCTGCTGGAGTTGCAGGCCCTGCCGGACCTCGTGGTCCCAGTGTAAGTAACTTTATCAAATGATATCAGTCATCAGAACCAAAAACATATATATAATATAATTCTTACATAGGGACCTGCTGGAGCTCGTGGAGACAAGGGAGAGAGCGGAGAGGCTGGTGAGAGAGGCATGAAGGGACACAGAGGTTTCACTGGCATGCAGGGACCCCCTGGACCCGCTGTGAGTTCATATTGTACTACTTATAAAATCAAAGCCCAACTTGGAACAATCTCTTAAAAATTATGTTCTTTTTTCAGGGATCTAACGGAGAGCAAGGACCCGCTGGAACTGCTGGACCTGCCGGACCTAGAGTAAGTTGAACGTTTAGGAAAACAATTATATTTCATATAAGGCTGTTTGATGGAGAGGATTGTTGTTGTCTGCGTCTATAGGGTCCTTCTGGATCTGCTGGTGCCCCCGGTAAGGATGGTATGAGTGGCCTCCCAGGACCTACTGGACCTTCCGGACCACGTGGTCGTTCTGGCGAGATGGGACCTGCTGTAAGTTATAGAGTGGTACTCTGGTTTGACTTAAACGGATATTAAACAGTTGAACTTCTTTCATCACAGGGTCCCCCTGGACCTCCTGGACCCCCTGGACCCCCAGGTGCTCCTGGTGGTGGATTCGACCTCGGCTTCATCGCTCAGCCTCAGGAGAAGGCTCCCGATCCCTTCCGTATGTTCCGTGCTGATGATGCTAATGTTCTGCGTGACCGTGACCTGGAGGTGGACAGCACTCTCAAGAGTTTGAGCCAGCAAATCGAGCAGATCCGCAGCCCAGACGGAACCCGTAAGAACCCTGCCAGAACCTGCCGTGACCTGAAGATGTGCCACCCAGAATGGAAGAGCGGTAAGCCATCAAAATATGAATGTTCAAATGTTCAAGAACCAAGCCATGTTTGACGTTTGACATGATTGTAGATTTCTACTGGATCGACCCTGACCAGGGCTGCACTCAGGATGCCATCAAAGTCTACTGCAACATGGAGACCGGAGAGACCTGTGTCTCACCTGCTCAGCCTGAGGTAGCCCAGAAGAACTGGTATGTGAGCAAGAACATCAAGGAGAAGAAGCACGTCTGGTTCGGCGAGACCATGAATGATGGATTCCAGGTACCTCTACATTTCATGAATTTATCACATTTGTCATCATTTGCTTACTGAACAACGCCATTACTTTGACTCCACAGTTCGAGTATGGCAGCGAGGGCTCACAGCCAGAGGATGTCAACATTCAGCTGACCTTCCTCCGTCTCATGTCCTCGGAGGCATCTCAGAACATCACATACCACTGTAAGAACAGTGTGGCCTACATGGACGCTGCTGCTGGTAACCTCAAGAAGGCCCTGCTCCTCCAGGGCTCCAACGAGATTGAGATCAGAGCTGAGGGCAACAGCCGCTTCACATACAGTGTCCTGGAGGACAGCTGCACGGTAAGCAAACTATATAGTGCTTCAAACCTTGAAAAGCCAGTTACATGCCTTGAAGAACATGCTTCTTTATGCTTAATCTAAATGTTTTAATTTGTAATATCTCTCAAAGAGGTCTCAAGAAAAATCCCTTTATCATGAGCTTCACACCATGTTGCAACAGTGTAAAATGGATTCAGTCATGTTGGATCGATCACATCATCTCATTTCACCTACCCTCATCCATGGCACAAAAAGAGAATATTGTCATTTTTCACGAAGGTTAGATAGAAAGTAAAGGAACATGAGCTTTTAGTCCCATAGTTTCAAGTCACAATTAGACTCAGGTCAAACTCAAGTCACAATGGTGATGTGTGACATGAACATGTATCTTCATTTCTGCACTAACTAGAGCTTTTTGTGCCGATTATTAAAAAAAGGAGTAGAGACTGCATGCAAAAGACATTTTGGATATGGCTTGAAGTCAGTAGTTGAGACAGACTTCAGGGTCCAAGTCCCCCCTCTGATAAATTCTAACATGAAAACACATTTACATAATTAAGTTATGTAGACATGTAAAAGTCATTCACACCCCTTATTAATGGAGTCATAAATTATACTCCAATATGTCTCACTTAAAAGATGTCCCACTCACTTTATAACATTGATACCAGCCCACTGAAAAAGTATCGCAAAAAAGATTGCACATTTCAATTTCACCACTAGATGTCGCCATATATGTCAGTAGTGAGAGAATGCCATTGCGTTCTTGCAGATGAAGATCTACTTGGGAGGATAGTTTCAAACTCATTTGCTTTTCCTTTCTTTTCCTTTCAGTCACACACCGGAACATGGGGCAAGACAGTCATCGACTACAAGACAACGAAAACATCACGCCTGCCCATCATTGACATCGCTCCTATGGACGTTGGTGCTCCAGACCAAGAGTTTGGCATTGAAGTGGGACCTGTCTGCTTCTTGTAAAAAGAGAAATCTGGACTTGAAATTGTTGTTGTGTGCGTGTATGTGTGTGTGCGCGAGTGAGTTTTGTTTTTCTAGCAGTCATCTCTCCAAAAAAACATTAAGAAATTTACACGCCCTCCATCCTAAAAAATCTGCACTTCAAAATGCCGGCGATGCACAAGTGTTCGCATCATCGAGTTTGGGACCACTACTTTCTTCTTGATTTTGGAGTTGTTGTTTTTTTACAACACCAAGGATCCTGTAAAGACATTTTGTTTCACTGGCAACAAGAAAATAATATATGCTTCTGTAAAGTGTAAAATGTTCTTCCCCCTACATCCCACCGAGCCTCCAAAGGCCTCTCTGGAGTTTACAAAGTGACTATTTTTCTACACCACTGCAACAAGAGGAATGAAAGGACAGTCCCAACAGACAGAGCCCAAATGCTATGTACCACATTTCAGGTGTCGATGAATAAACGGTGAAACTGACAGCCATGTTTGTTTTTGCCCTTTTATCTTTTGCCTTGGCATGGACATACTTGTTGTTCCTTCCTGTCCTCTTTTATTAAAACCAGCAGCAGAGAACACATGGGTTGAAACCTCTTTTTTAAAGAACGATCACGTCTCAAGGCTACCTCCAGCTTTTCAGAAGGGGCCCAATTGTGTCGTGGCAGTCAGTGGGGGAGTTCAGATCGCTTTCAGCAGCAAAAATAGCTAATACCAAGGTGCTATTTCTTTGATAAAGGTCGAGAAGCTTCCAACATGGTGGTATTGTATAGATGAGTTGAGATCGTGTTGGAATCTCCAGACCTTTTGGTGCTAAAAAATACATCCTAAACATTTTCTGATGTCTAGACTGAGACAATCAAACTTTGTGAAGTGGATCAATAACAATGTCAGTATGCTCCCATCCTTTTCCCCATCAGCTCCTCACTTTTTTTATTTTCTCCCCAAATTGTTCATGTACAGAAAGAGCCGGCAGTTTGTGAGCAGACAGACAACAGCACATGGATCTGTACCTATGTATAATAATTGAGATGTGTTTAATTATTTTGAATGCTGAAATAAAGCATGTTAAGTGGTCTAAATGTTTAATGCTGCCTATTCCCTGAGTGACACGCTGATTCTCTTAAACACTTTGCAAGAATGTATCAGGAGTCAACATGAAAAGCCACTTGTGTATAATGAATCTTCTTACTTGCTAAATTGTATGCTATCATTGGAATAGCTCTACTAAATACAAAATCTTGGCTTACCTCTACTCAATGGACAGGTCTTCTCTGCAAGTGTATTCCAATGAGATCCCCAAAGTCATCTGTTTGTTGTGATGCTAGTCCATAGAGGAAATATGTACATCCAAGTATTGAATATTTCTCCTTTCTCCGTCATCCTCGTTCCCATCGAGCTGCTCCAGTCCGTCTGCAGACTTGTGACCGAATGGCTTGGGTTCTGCGGGACATGCAAAGGCGGTGGGCAATCACAAAGACACTGTTGTACACCTTGAAAGCGGATAGGTTCTCATTCCCTGTGGGACCCTGGATTATTTCTGCAACTATTTGGGTCTCTATTTGATGGTAGGGTGAGGAATGCCGCCCTCTCTGGTTTCACACACAGAGGAGCCAGTGTGCGAGCTGGGGAAGCCCTCGCAGAAGGTAAACATTGGTGCTGGACGCTGGACTGGGGGTATATGACCGGCAGATGCAGCAGACTGTGGGTGCTTCATGCATTACTATCATAGACTGTAATTACTATCGGAGTTACGTAAGCGGACAAGAGACACCGCTGGTTGTTGTTTATACAATCCTGTACTATTAATCCTGCCAAACAAATCTGGCATGTATATTTAATCATTACTCTATTCAAGGAAATATGCATAATCCGTCCTGCTCCACCCAGAGGCTACTCCATCTCTGCTACTGTGACCCGTCCTGCTCCACCCAGAGGCTACTCCACCTCTGCTACTGTGACCCGTCCTGCTCCACCTAGAGGCTACTCCATCTCTGCTACTGTGACCCGTCCTGCTCCACCCAGAGGCTACTCCACCTCTGCTACTGTGACCCGTCCTGCTCCACCCAGAGGCTACTCCACCTCTGCTACTGTGACCCGTCCTGCTCCACCCAGAGGCTACTCCACCTCTGCTACTGTGACCCGTCCTGCTCCACCCAGAGGCTACTCCACCTCTGCTACTGTGACCCGTCCTGCTCCACCCAGAGGCTACTCCACCTCTGCTACTGTGACCCGTCCTGCTCCATCCAGAGGCTACTCCATCTGTGCAGCTGTGACCTGTCCTGCTCCACCCAGAGGCTACTCCATCTCATCTTCTACCCTGATCAATTTCATTTTTTTATTTTTGCTGCTACTGGACAACTGAATTTCTCCTACGGAGATCAATAAAGTATCTATCTATCTATCTATCTATCTATCTATCTATCTATCTATAAGCCATGGATGATGCCGGGAGAGTCTAAGTTTTATAAACCTTTATTAACCAGGAAAGTCCAAATTAGATTTTAAGGGGCTGCAGAGAGAGGGATGCCATCGTTTTGAGTGGTTGGGGAAACCAGAGCACCCAGAGGAAACCTATACGTAGGCACAGAGAGAACACGTCACTCAGAGAGGCCTCGTCTACAGGTGGAATTTAAAAAATACAGGAATAATATGGGATTTTAAAAGTGCTTTAAATCACAATTAGTTTTGCATTTAAACACTGACACTATGCGATTAATCAGGTACATTTTGAATTCATAGTGCCTTTATGCTGGTAATACATTCAACCAAAGTATTAAAAAAAATATATATATATATATATCTGGTATTGGTACTGTGAACTTGTAAGTACTGAAAATAAAGTGTCCCTAAAGTGTGATGAATGACCCTTGTCTGTGATTCATTCATCTCTGAAGCTCCCCTGATGATGATGAGACTGGTTCTATCAAAGACCATAACATTTGATGGTGTATTTTATTTTTGGATTGGTTTTATTTTTATTTTGCAAATACACTAGATTATCTGTTATTGTCTCTGTCCGCAGGCTTCAGCAGGCGTACGGACACAGGAAGATAATGACAGCAGCAGTTGCCAGAGTTTCGAGCACAAACAGGAGCATTTGGTGATGAGGGATTAGAGGATTATAACATATTATAACTGGAGTCTCTCCTCCGGTTCCACAGACCACCGTCTCACTGCACAGATGCAGCTCAGAGAAAGACACAGATTTCTGCTAAACAGGTGAGTCCTCGCGGAGGGGAGTGGCTTTGTGTCCCATTTGTTAAACTACTATTTGTGTTTGAATTGGATCATAGGGAAATAAATCTATCTCTTTAAGTTTTTATTCAGACACAGTGCTAAATATAGTAAATAAATGTCTACACAAATTCTAAAAACAGGATACATTTCAAAATAATCATTCACTAACTGTTGTGAAGTGTGTCCAGTCCTTTCTCAAAGCTGAGGTATTGAAAATGTAAGTTTTTGTGTGAACTTATCTACAACATTTGTATTTGTGTGTTTTTGTTCCGGGAAATTCATTGTATTCGAGACTTTTAAAACGTTGCCTTTGAAAATGAATCTCACTGCCAGAGACTATATTGAACACAGTCCTTTCATTCACTTAGAAGCATGGCTAACCACCTCAACCCTGTTTTTGTTTTATGTCATGTGCAGTCATTATTAAACGGAAGGGGAAGAAAGTACAAATATTTGGGTTAAAAAGTAAAAAAGTACAGATACCAGGAAAAAATACTTGAGTACCTCAGGAAAAGTACTTCTACAAATAAGTATCTGCTTTTATCCAACTTCCTTTCAAACTGAATGTTTTGTATCAAGTTTAAAAAGAAATTTGTAGTAATGTACTGTAGTAATGCCACAATTCTAAACAATTATTGTATCTGCTCTGAAAATATGATATTATTTATAAGAAGACTCATTTAATTATATATTATTCATTTCTTTGATAAAGATTCATGTTTTATACACAATAAACATTCCTAATCTGCTGTCAGACACTTAACCAATGTAATCCGGTCGTTTAAACTGCTATTAATGACCTATTGCATAAAGACATGTTCTTTAATACATTAGCAAGAGGTTTATTTCTATCCCGTTTCAGCCTCTTCCTCTCATGGTCACCGTGTGCTCCTCTTTTCTGTTTTTCTATAAACGAAAGATCTTAGTGTATTTTTAGTTTGTTGTTTGTATTTGCAGTTTGTTATGTGGCATTACTGCTGTTCTGATTATTTTTCTGAAAGGTTTTTAACCTTAAATTTGTAATAGTGTCTGACTGTATGAAAAACTAACCCTAACAACAGAACAATGCTGTTTGATGTTGTTTGTGTTTAAAGGGAACCGTTTACATATCTCAAAAAAGAATATTTTCCTTCAACTATTCAACAAAAGTGTTGTTATTTAACCCTTTAATGATCACTCCTTGAATAAAGCAAAGTCATTTTCTGAGATGTAGGAGCACTAAAAACACCACTGCTTTGTTTTTGTTGTTTTGTTTTTTATCCTCTTTTAATTTTTGTTATGGTCTTTACCAAATGGTAGAGAGTTTGATGGTAACAGTGCCTAAACAGTGCCTAAGCTTCAGGTAAATAAGTGACTCAAAAAGTGATCCACCAAATGGTTACGAAAACCATGAAAGGGTTAAACACACAAAAGCTTGTACTTTTGTACTTTTACTTAGAAGTATGGGGATGATTTAAATACCTTTAATTAGATGTCTTCACTTGTAACCTATACTTTTCTTTAGTACTTTTTCCACCTCTGGTCCTGTGTGGATGAAGGATGCGCTCCGTCCCGTCAGTCCTCTTCCTTGTTGCTGTTCTCCTCCCGTCCTCCAGGGGCGCCCTATGCTCCATGCGCTGTGTATGTTATGAACATGCAAACCTGGTGGACTGTGAGGACCAGGGCCTCAGGAGCGTCCCGCGGACCCTCCCTCACGGCACCTGGATGCTGAAGCTGGGGCGCAACAACCTGACGGAGATCGGCAGCCACGCCTTCGTCGGCCTGTGGTCCCTGCGTGTGCTCGACCTGCAGGGGAGCCAGATCCACCACTTACGGCCCAAGGTACCACCATGAAGAACGATCAAATCAATGCTGCGTATCGCTATGGTCGAACTTTTTATTCAACTGTATTGATTCTCATCTATGTATTAGAAAGTGGGGGCGGGTCCCGGTGTTCTGTCGAGTTGGTCTGCCCGTCAAGATGAGCTCCCTCAGCTGTTAATGGTGTAATGCAAACTTGAGCATTTAAGAATAAAAGTTTTGTGTAAAGTTTGTTTTAAGCAGTCAACTGCTCCTGTGAAACCACACTGCTGCTGTTATGATAGCAGTCGTTGACTGCTGCATACGTCATTTTACTGACGCAGGCCGATGACGTGTCCTGTGACTGGTCTGTTGGGTTGATAATGGAAATAGTAAATTACATTTAATGCATGTATCATACTGTATTCAATATGATTTACAATAATGTGTTCAAACTAAATATTTAATTATATCCCCATTCTGTCGGGTTTCTGCGCATGCGCAAATCAGATTTGGGTTACAGTAGCAGTGTAGTTTCACAGGAGCAGTTAACTGCTTAAAACAAACTTTACACGAAACTCTTACTCTTAAAACCCACATATCACAACACGGAACCATCAACATCTCACCTCAAATTGCTTTAAAAGTGACATCCGTGTCTTAATTTGTTCGTATTTTAACTTTTAAAGCAATTCACGGACTTCATGTCCGCCATCTTGGATTGCTTCTGCTAGCGTGAGACGCGCATGGGTAGGTTTGCATTACATCATTAACATCTGAGGGAGCTCATCTCCATGGGCAGACTAACTCGACAGAACACCGGCTCAAAAATGTCCAAAATGACGTGCACTGACACGCTTGCAATACCACCCCGGGCCAGTGGGGGTGGACCCAGAATAAGAATTAGCCAATGCTAATGTAAGTATCTTCTAACCTCTCGAAAACGGCTTTACAGGATGGTCCAAAAGTTAGCTCTACAGAGATGTGTGTCAATGCTGAGGGGAGGATATGTTTTTGGACCAGTCTAGTTTCGTCGCTGTGGAATTTTGACTGCACTCTGTAGGATTTTGATATAGCTGTACAATACAATACAATATATTCTTGTATAGCCCTAAATCACAACAGTAGTCAGAGTACTTCAAAAAACCATTGAAATCACCAACACAGGTCAGAGAATCAACAGTTAAAACACATAAAGAATATAGAACACATGTTGATAAATGTCCATACTGTACATGTTGTAGAATGTTAAAGTGTCTAGTTGGACACTAACTGCCCAACAGACCCTGAATAACTGTAGCTCAGACCCTCCTCCAGCATCATGGAGTAAGACACGGGTGTCCAAACTTTTTAGTAAGAGGACCACACAATCATAAAACAAATGTAAGTAAATAACAATAGAGTCAACGACTGGATTCCAGAGTGTCTGAGATTTACGACAAGATATAGCTGACTGTATTGGTGGAGCTGAAGTTGGTTGGATGACACTGTCAGAGGGCCACATAAAATGGCCCAGAGGGCCGCAATTGGCCCGGGGGCCTGAGGATGGACATGCCTGGAGTAAGACGGGCGGCACGGTGGCTGAGTGGATATCACTCTCGCCTCTCAGCAAGAAGGTCCTGGGTTCAAATCCCGGCCGAACTAGGGCCTCTCTGAGTGGAGTTTGCATGTTCTCCCCGTGTCTGCGTAGGTTTCCTCCGGGTACTCCGGTTTCCCCTACCACTAAAAACATGCACAATAGGTCTGGCATGCGCCTCCTGTACTGGCGACCCCGCTCCCATCTCTGTGTGGAGTGAGTGGACAAATGCCCAAAAATAATAACAATTGTAAACCGCTTTGTGACTCTGGTCTGTGAAAGGCGGTATATAAATAAAGATTACTTACTTACTTACTTACTTAAGACGAAGTGGGCATGGCTTATGCAGGTTCTACAACCTCAACCACTGGCTCTGAAACAGCGGTAGCAAGTACAAGTATAAGTACAAGTACAAGCGATGCAAGTTCTGTGATAAATGTGTTGTGCCGCTACATGTGGAGTGCTTCAAGTATCATACCGCATGAGTGTGTTTATAGGGCAGAATACATTTATATAACATGGATATCTATAGTATACTGTACTTTCTTTAAATTACCCTTGGCATCAGTCCTTGTTCTTTTTTACTGTTGGGAAAAAGAAAAGCAATAGAAAGTACTTGTAGGCTAATGTCATTATTTGCTTATTTTTTTGGATTGCTAATGGGATATTTCCCTTTATTCAAAACATTTGTTTTGTATTTTAGAATAAAATAACCGTTCAAGTTGTTTGTTGTTTTAGAATTTATAAAGGAGGAATCAATCACAATCAGTTTGGCTGAACACAACCTTTCTGGGATGATTATATCCAGTCATGATTTCCATTATGACCTATTGACAAGCTATTTGCCCACTCGCAACAGTAGTTACCAGCCCTAAAAATGCTATTTTCTTCAAGGCAAGTTCCAAAATTGAAAATAAAAATATACATTTCCTGTTTCTAGGGCACACAACTAATAACATTATATACATTTACACTCTGAAAAAAATGTGGGCACAACCTCAGTGTTGCTTGTAAAATGTCATGTTTATATTGTATTAACGCATAAATATCATCACTTGAATTCATAAAGGGAGAGAGAATAGTCTTTAGTCAAATATTCTTATATGTGGGTCAAAGTGATTTGACCAAAAGTGCATAACAAAAGGATAATCAGGATTAAAATGCCACTGTCGTTCTGAATTGTCCTGGCTGTCTGTGCAGGCACTTTTCTCACTGTCCTTCCTGGAGAGGTTGGACCTGAGTTGGAATATGCTCACCTCAATCCTGGTGGACTTCTCTTCCAGCCTGTCAGCGCTGAAGGAGCTGCGGCTGGAGCACAACTACATCCAGGTCATCCCTCCAAACAGGTGACAGTGTAGGACCCAGAGCTCGGTCTGGGGTTACTCTACTTTATCGCCAACTCTGGGACCTCATCACGTCCGTCTCCAACTTAATCTATAGATCTGCTGATGTCAGGGTCAGAGCTGCTTTTAAAACTCAAAATTCAATTTAATTTCAATTTCTTTTTTTTCTTAAGCCTTAGCCTTAGCCCTAAATCTCAGATTATTTAACAGAACCGTTGAAATCCTCAACACAGATCAGAGAATCAACAGTTATGACACAAAAAATATAGAACACATACTGTAGATGCTGGTCCATAGGGAGAGACCAATGTCCATAGATGTTGATAGATGTCCATAGATAGAGCCAAAGGAATTTCCTAGTTTGTGACTTCTTGTTACTCACATGGCAAAGAATTTTGATTCTGATTCTGAAGTGTTATGATAAGTGCAGCGTTCTACTTTTGGCAACGTGGCATTCATTATTTAAGTTTGTGATCTACAGTATGAGAACTTCCATTTATCGTAGAAGGGTGAAGCCCTGGATCCAATTCACACCTTACAGGACTTTCAGAAGACCAGTGCTGTTACAAAACATGGTTGAGGTGGTTTTAGAGGAAAGTTTTATAGTTATAACTGAGCCTGTAGTTCCCCTTTAAGGCTTGGTTGTCTCAGTAACTGTTGATTGGCAGCACTCAATATTTTTCTATTTGTAGCAAAACACATATATTATTAACTGTCCCACATTGTCCAGTATGAGTCTCATGTGTTGAATGGTTGGAGGTGGTTATGGGGGATGTACTTCTGTCAGTCTGAACCAAAAATCAAACACAAGAGTCTGTCTAATAGACCAAGTTTTATCATTAATTGCATAAAGGGGACAATGTGTACAGTTAAAAAGGAAATACATGTTTCTTTGAGAGGACATGCTTTAAAGATATACACTGTATAATCTGTCCAATAGTAGCAGTAGTATACAGTATAGTAAAGATCTATATAGTATACATCTCTTTAGTATCAATATAAATAGTACATCTCTATCAATGTTTGCCAGTTGATTATAATACTGCAGTAGCCTTTCCCCTGGTTGGGAAACACTTGTGTATAACTTGCTAGTGTCTTTGTGGGCAGCTTTGAGAATCTGGACAACCTGGAGAAGTTGGACCTGAGCTACAACGAGCTGGAGGCTGTGGGCCCCGGGGTCCTGAAGGGTCTGTCCCGTCTGAGGCAGCTGTACCTCCAGCACAACAGGCTGAGTGTGGTGCAGCAGGGCAGTATGGACATGCTGCCAGGCCTCGAGGTACACTGGGTACACTGGGTATATACACTGGCTTTCAATTCAATTCAATAACTTTATTAATCCGTGAGGAGCTTCATTTACAGACAGAGCACCGGTGGGGGTACACAAAAACACAGAGACACGCAATCTAAGAATAAATACAGTAAAAGAGCAGAAATGCAATATAAAATACATAAAACAGGTCACCAATTCAGCTGTTTAAATGGCGAATTGAGGTGGGGAGGAAGCTGGATGTGGCCCTTTTTGTTTTGAATGGGAGGGACCTGAACCTACGCCCTGATGGGAGCAGACTGTAGTGAGAGTGCAGAGTGTGGGAGCTGTCTGTGGAGATCTGGGAGCCTTTCCTTAAAACTTTGTAATTGTAAATGTCTGTGAGTGAGTCTTGCTGCTGTCCAATGATTTTGCTGCTGATTTTAATGATCTTATTGAGTGAATTCCGATGTATGAGACTGAGTGAACCAAACCAAGCTGTAATGTTGAAAGTTAGAATTGATTCAATGAAGCATTTGTAGAAAACAGAGAGAATGGATTTGTGAACCTGAAGTTTACAGAGTTTGCGGAGGAAGAAAAAGCGCTGTTGACATTTAGAAAAGATAAGTTCAGTATTGTCCTGGAAAGTGAGTTTATGATCGATTATGGTGCCAAGATATTTGTATGAATTAACCTTTTCTATGGGGTCATTGTTGACAGTGAGTGTGGGAGTGGGGGAGTGTCCATGATGGAAGAAAATGACCATTTCTTTTGTCTTTGAGACATTTAGGTCCAGGCAATTGTCTCTACACCACTGAGTGAAGGAGTCCAATTCAGTCTGCAGAAGTCCTGATGTGTTAGTCGTGTCCATGATGACTGTGTCGTCAGAGTATTTGATGTATGTTATTTCCGGGGTATTGCTCGTGCAGTCGTTAGTATACAGAGTGAAAAGAAGTGGGGAGATTACTGAACCTTGAGGTGAATCGGTGGATATTGTCCTGAGAGAGCTGAGGTGACCATTCACCCTCACCCTTTGATCCCTCGCCGTGAGGAAGGAAAGGACCCAGAGGATGAGGTGAGGGTTGACATCCAACTGGAGCAGCTTACGTCCCATGAGATGAGGTTGCAGGGTGTTAAATGCGCATGAGAAGTCCACAAAGACCATGTTCACTAGAGACTTGGGCTTCTCCAGATGGCAGACAGCTCCATGCAGCAGGGTCAGCACAGCTTTGCTGGGTACACTGGGTATATACACTGGCTATTCTGGGTACACTGGGTACACTGAGTACACTGGGTACACAGGGCACACTGGGCACACCTGGGTACACTGGTTTCACTGGGAACACTGTGTACACTGGGTACACTGGAAACACTGGAAACACTGGTACTTTGGATGGATCATATATGACACAGTTCATAATCTGTAATCTGTGTGAAAACTTGCCCTGATCAGAAATCTCATTCACCAGTTGTCAATAGTGTGTGTTGTCCTCTAACATCTATGAAAGCTGGGAGTGTTTTGTGGTAGGTGAGAATGAGGTTCTTTATCTTCTCTGATGCTCATTCTTCGCAAAAATTCTCCAGTTCCAATAAATTCCCGGGCTAAACGCTTTTACGATTATAACTCCATGTGAATTTTCTCTTTACAAATTTGATTCATTCGCTTTTCTTCGCTCCCCACTAATATTGAACTGGTTTGAGTATATTTCTGACTGTTGTCTGTCTGTGTGTGTGTGTGTGTGTGTGTGTGTGTGTGTGTGTGTGTGTGTGTGTGTGCGCGTATGTGTGTGTCTGTGTGTGTCTGTATGTGTGTGTGTGTGCATGTGTGTGTGCGCGTATGTGTGTGTCTGTGTGTGTCTGTATGTGTGTGTGTGCATGTGTGTGTGTGTGTAGGTGCTGCAGCTGAGCTACAACAACATCTCTCAGATCCACAGTGATGCCCTGGCTCCTCTCTACAGTCTGGCTGTTTTATCTCTGGAGGGAAACAATCTTCACCACCTGAAGTTTAAGACGTTCATAAGTCTGCACACCACGGCCACTCACATCCAGCTCTCAGGTGTGTGCTGCTCTGACGACAACTGTCATTAAGTCATAAGTGTTAAAAGACAGTAACCCTTTCAGTGTCTTAGCAGCATTGTTGGCCTGTATGAGCTTCATGATCCAGGACACTTTCTGTACAGTGACCTGGCTTCTACAAACTTTTCCCACAATTATTCTGACATTTATTTTTTCATGTATTTCTGTAATAATTCATTTTATAAAAATGTCAGAGTTCCACCTCTGGTTTGTTTCACGTAAGTTTTAAAGATAAATGGTGCATTAAGAATTCACTAATACAAAAAACTAGCACAGGGTGGCACGGTGGCTGAGTGGTTAGCACTCCTGGGTCCTGGGTCCGAATCCCGGTCGGAACGGGGTCTTTCAGAACGGGTTTGCATGTTCTCCCCATGCTTGCGTAGGTTACTTCCAAGTACTCCGGTTTCCCCTACCACTAAAAACATGCACACTAGGGTAAATCCTCCTGCTCCGGTAGTCCTGACCAAGCCGAGCATCAACATCTGGAGGTTCCCGGGCGCTGTTACTACGGCGACCACTGCTCTTGACGTAAGCCTTAGCGGCATCAGGATGAGTCAAATGCAGAGGATGAATTACCCTACGGGGATCAACAAAGTGCACCTTTACCAAAATGAAGATTCTCATTTGAGTGTTTCCAAAGAAATAGAGAAAATTGTAAATAGATAAAGACATTTGACCTTTCCTGAGAATTTTTTATGAATAAAAAGGCTTACAACAAAGTGCATTATTATGTCCATCCGTCCATTTTCTTCCCCTTAATCCTTTTCTGGGTCGGGGGGGTGGCAGTCAGAGCTGCACCCAGTACACAGAGCACCAGCCCCTCACTGATCCTCCAGTAGGTGGTGAGTCCACAGGAGCTGAGATCTTTCAGCGGGGGCTTCGGGCAAAGTGGGGTTACGTGTCTTGCCCAAGGACAGGACGACAGTAGACATTAGTGGGAGTCGGCGGAGAAGGTCTTATGGTGGGCTCTAACCCACGACCTCCAGGCTCCAAGGCACATGCTCTACCAACTGAGCCACTGACTGTATTATTATGTAGGTAAAGAAAATTAAAACTTATTCTAGGGTATACAAATAAAACCAGGGATGTTCCAGAAAGGTGTGGCTGCAGGTTTTCATTCTTACCAAGCAGGAGCACAGCTACCCACTTCCTCAAGTCTGCAGGTTAAGAAAGAACTGGGGAAACGGGTGGAGTCTGGTGTGCTCTAGCTTGGTTGGATTTAAAACTTGTAGCCAGGCCTGCCCTTTGATGACTACATTAGACTCTATGAGATCGTCCAATATCATTTGATATGTTCAAAATGGGGCGACAGTAGCTCAGTTGGTAGAGCATTGGCCTTAAGGCCTGAAGGTCGAGGGTTCATTTCCCACCTCCACACCGACTCCCACTGATGACTGCTGTCGTTGTGTCCTTGGGCAAGACACTTATCCCCACTTTGCCTGAAGCTCCCGCTGAAAGATCTCAGCTCCTGTGGACTCACCACCTGCAGGAGGATCAGTGATGGGCTGGTGCTATGTGAACTGGGTGCAGCTCTGACTGCAACCCCCCCGGCCCAGAAATGGATTAAGGGGAAGAAAATGGATGGATGGATGTTCAAAATGTATCTTTTTTGTTCCACAGAAACTAGTTTTGCAGCAAGACAACATTTAAACGCATACACAGTACAATCACAAATAACACCTAGAAAATAGTAAAAACAACCAAAGGATGTCACACCATTAGTTTTAGCCCAAAATAAGGTATTTTAAGTTAAAACTAGGGAAGCTAAGTAGGGTTGCACCTGGTTAAAGTGAAATGGGAGACTATTAAAAATAGTATTCATATTAGCAATAGCATTTTATTCTGATTGAAAAAAGAAATCTGCGGCTCCTATAATCAGTTGAATAATATATTTAGCATGGAAGAAGAAAAAAAATGTCCTGCATGTTGTAATGAATGAGAATCATATAATATTTGTCGTAGGTTGACGTCACATGTGTCCTGCAGGAAACCCGTGGAACTGTGACTGCGAGCTGCACCGTGTCTTCAGTAAGATCTTATTTGTACGTTACCTTCACATCGACGACTACACCAATGTCACGTGTCACAAGCCGCCGCTGCTGGCCGGTTACTCTCTGGCCTGGGTGGACAGTCGGCTGTGCGTGGCCGAGACCGCCACCGTCCTGGTGATCACGGTCACGGTGTTGGTGACGGTGGTGGGTGCCTTGGTGATGGCCGAGAGGAAGCGCAAGAGGAAGGAGAGGGGTTCCTGCTACGGAGAGGCGCACGCACAGATACAGAGTCCCAGTCACGCCCTCTGCTCAAAATGACTATGGCAGACGTGGTCCTCTTTTTTAGAGTAATTTCTATATTCATTGATCTTTCAAATGTCTGTCATATTTTGCAGATGATGTCTAATTGTTGATATAATAAAATATCTAGAAAAACATATCTGAAAATGTTCATCCACTTTATTATTCCATTTCTGGGTCGGGGGGTGGCAATCAGAGCTGTAGGTGGTGGGTCCACAGGAAGATGGCCGCTTTGTCAATGAATTCACAGCCATGGTTTGTCAGCTGGGGATTCAGGCAAAGTGGGGTTAAGTGTCTTGCCCAGGGACACAACGACAGACACGGGTCCAGGGGGGCTCAAACCCACAACCATTAGTTTCAAAGACCAATGCTCTACCAACTGTGCCCCTGTCATGGCTGTGTTTGGGCAGATTTAAACTGCCCAAAGTAAGAACAAAAAATGGAAGAAATATTGTAACAGTCATGTATGGTTGGAACACTTTGCCAAGTGACATTATTTATTCAAGCAGTGACATTATTTATTCAAGCAGTGACATAAAGGCAGTGAGTACCAATTTAAGGCCGTTTTGAAAAGACATATTTTTCATGTGTGTGGTTGTAAAAAAAAAAAAACAATTAGGGTCTAGTGATTGTATAAACAACAATCTACAAATTACCAGCGAAAATGTTGGGTATGCCAATGATACTGTACAACCAAGAGCTGTATCGTTGGCTAACCCAACAGTTGTTTACCTGAATGTTAGTACAATATGACATGTTTATAATTGTAGTTTAAAATAGGTAAAAAATAGAAGAAAAATATTTGAGTGCCTTTTATCTTTTTTATGCTAGTTTTACTATTTCTTTATCAATGCTTTCCTCTGATTGGTTTATTGGTGTGTCTGACCCATGGTTATTATACAGCTCTATTTTAGGCTTTGTCTTTGTATTTGATTCAGTGGCAAATGCTAAATATAAAACAACATTTGATTATGTAGTGTTTTTTTTCTCTCTTTCCAACCTCCTGAATGAGCCTCTTGTTCATCTGTCCAGGAGATACTATAGTCTTCTTCACGGCTCATCAAGGCTCGCTGAGGGAGATAGTGTTGGACCCTATCGTTTATAACTAGGTCCTGGTGAATGAAGGCTCGGGGTACAACAACCACACTGGAGTGTTCACGGCACCAGAAACAGGCATTTACCAGTTTATGTACAGCGTTCAGCTGGGGAAACGAAGATCTCTCATAGAGCAGGGATATACAGTATATATTGGGAATGTTGCTAGGCAGCATGGACTTACAACTCCCTCCAAAGATTTGGATTTCAATGGGATTGAGATTTGATAGAATAAATAAAGGGATAAAAAGGAAATTGTCTGTTTTTCAACCTCTGAAAGTTCAGACTAAGGATTTTTTTTACCCCACCCTTATTTGTTCTTCTTTGCGTGTGTTTTACATTGACTTTGTATGAGACGCAGAACTCCAGGTTTGTGAAATAAATGCCTTTTTAAGAAACCACAAAATGTAAATAAAATCGTCGAAGGTAGTGACGTACCTTCCGAATTTATTTTTTTATTTTTTTATCATTGTGGATTCAGACCGTGTTAGATCCATGACGTCCATGGTTGTACCTAGTTCACACGTTTCCTGCGGATAAACGAAGACCGAGAAGACGAGGAGAAAGATTCGGACGTGACCATAGACCGTATGTATTAACGTGACCCAGGCAAGCCCCGGCGATCCAAGATGGCGCCCTATTCAAATGAATGGTTGGGCTCAGTGGCGCTTTGTGACGGCATGGGGGCTGAAAGATTAGCGGAAGTTGCCTGAAACTCGCAAAGATCTATGGGAAACTCGCCTGTATTTGGGCATCGTCTGGTCCTCCCGGTTCTGCGCAGTGGATGATCTCCCATAATGCGTTGCGCCAAACACGCGTGTGTGGGTCTCACACCGGGTCTCACGCACGTGCACAGAGGGGCTCGGCTGCGCTCTGACCAATCAGAGCAGTTCATCAGAGCGGGAGTTAGAGCGAGAGCCAGAGGAGCAGAGTTTGTGGCACTAAAGTGTGGATTTAAACAAAACCGAAGGATTTAAGAAGAAAAAAAGTTCAGGATGACAAGGGACACTAAAATCCCCACAAAATCCGATCTTTATTAAAGCTGTAGGTTCTCTGTCAGCTGAGGTTGAGCTGTTTTAATATGCATTGAGTTCTATGGGGAAAATGTCTGGGTAGCCCACGTGAATTTAGTCTGGTTCAGTCTGCAGTACCGCGAGAATCCCCTGAGCACGTGAGTTATTCAGCTACAAGCTAGTAATACCCTATCCAGTTAATATAATACATCCATGGACCCAGGACTATGGATCTCTAATCCAAACCAACCGGACTTGCTGCCATAAACTGAGCGTTAATGCCATCTAGTGGCCAACAGGGTAAAGTGAAAAAACGGAACAGGCGCGTCAGCCAACGCAGCCTTTTTTTGTTTCATTTTATTTTTTTACGGAAAATAGAAAAATAACATCATTATTTCATTGTTATTTACATGTTACAAAACTTCCAGGAGATGTCTGGATTGTTTCGTTGAACCATAATGACGTGATGAACGTCGTCGTGTTTGTGACGTCAGTAAACGTCACTTTCAGGAAGTAGCATAGGTTTGTTGTTTTGCACTGTTTCTATTTCCCGCAGTAAAGTTGTTTGCATTGCACGTGTTTGATGTAAACATGCAGTTTAATGTAAGGCATACGATACATTTAGGTGATTACTTTAGGGAAACGAAAATAACAGGCTTTCAATCGCATCAATATAGAAACATCGTAAGATAGTTTCGCTTCAGCGTCAGCCACAGGTCAGTGCTCTCACACTGTACTTTCCCCTGAATATCAGCCGTTCTTCATGTATGTCTTGTATTGTCATTGCTCTAATAGTTATTTGTCTTATCGTGCTATGCTCCACGCTAGAATGCCCTTATATACGTTCCCTTTATGTTAAACTGGGTGTACCTGTTGTAGGTGAATGATGGCAGAAGCTGGAGCCCACCTCACCAGCTCTGCGGCCCTGGAGCAGCCTTCCATCTTTGAGGTTCTGGCACAAGAATCTCTGATGGAGGCAGTGAAACCTGCTCTGAGGCACGCAGTCAAGGTACAGCTCTCCACAGCTCTGCATCATGACGTAGTGGTTTATTGTCTTGTGCTGCTGTGTTCAGATCTTGGCTGAATCAAATCCGTCGCGTTATGGTTTCCTGTGGCGCTGCTTTGATGAGCTCTACCTGATGCTGGACGTCCTGCTGCAGAAACACTTCCTGTCCCACTGCAGTGCCTCCTTCTCAGAGAACTTCTACGGCCTCAAACGGGTTGGTGGAGGTCAGCAGGGACTGGCTCTCAAAAGCAGGTCCTATTGGTGGTCCCTCCTCCTGCTGTGCCTCGTGCCGTATCTGCGAGCCAAACTGGAGGCAGTGTTGGCCAAGCAGCGAGACGAGGAGGACTTCTCCATCCGCCTGGGCCAGAGCCGCCTACAGAGGATGTACCGGGCTGCAGTCGCCGCGTTCCCCTACGTGAGCTCGGCTGGACAGGCTCTGGTCTTCTGTCAGCAGCTGCTCTTTGTGTTCGGAGTGGCCAAGACTCACAGTCCTCTGCTGTGGCTCGCCCAGGTCCGACTGGCCCGACTCAGCGCACAGGACATCAGGCACATGCAGCTGCGCGAGGGGAGCGAGCCTGAGCCAACAGGAGGGAGGCAAGTGCTTCAACACTATCATCCAAAACACTGGAATACACTATTCATTCATGAAAAAGATACTAATGTGTTTATTAGTGTATACTCTATCACACCAATATGTTGTATAATTTTGAACGAATAGAATTAAGGTTTTACAAATAAACATATATATATATATAATTACACATTCGTTATGTAACTGATAAAACTACTTCACACTTGAAAACAGCAAAAAATAATTAACAAATGTTTCACAACCCGAAATATGTGTTATGAAAGATTCATAAACTGGATTTAGGTTAAAAGCTTTATGAGCTCTGGCAGGAGGATAATAATTGGTGGATGGAGCTGAAGTATGATTTATTAAGTTTTATGAGAAACATTAGCTTCAATATAATGAGTGATTTCTATAGTTTTAGAGATTTATCTTTGTTATAATACATACTTATCTTTTTAATTGGGAATATCCCCAGTTAGAAAATCAGCAACTTGTTATTAGAACATTTCTGATCAGTCTTTCTTTTGTGCTCTCTGCACAGAACATGGCAGTTCCTCTCCAAGGCCACTAGAGGGATCGCCGTGTCCCTGTCTACCTCCCTGTCCCTGGGTGTCTTCTTCTTGCAGTTCTTGGAGTGGTGGTACTCCTCTGAGAACCAGGACACAGTGAAGACCCTCACGTCCCTGCCTGCCCCTCCACCCCCCCTCCACCTGCGTCCGCCCAATCAGAGCTCAGCAGAATGCCAGCGATACTACCAAACGTGTCCGCTGTGCCACAAGCCACGTTCCAACGCCACAGTCCTGTCCACGTCCGGGTTTGTGTTCTGTTACCGCTGCGTGTACACGTATGTGAAGGCCCAGCGTCGCTGCCCTGTCACTGGGTTTCCCAGTGAACTGCAGCAGCTCATAAAGATCTACTCTCCAGAGAGCTAATGCACGAACACTCACAGATGCACTTATGAGAGATGCTGACTGAGCCAATCCACGAAGACTTTCTGCGTTAAAGGAATGTTCTCCTATTACAATCCAAACCTGTGTTAGCGGTGTCTTCATACGCACCTTTCTCTGCGGCTCTGATGAGGATCATTCATTGGAGCAGCTGGTGTTTCGGTTGTGAGGCCTAAACCCAAGGTTTTCTATCAGACTCAGGAGGAGCAGAGCTGACTTCACCCATTTCCTCAAATCTTCAGGTTAAAACTGAACTCACCTGAAGAAATGGGCGGAGGTTATATGCAATGTTGCAATTGTGCATTGTTTTTACAATAAAATAACATCCACATATGATTTAAAATGATTTTGACAAAGCTCCATGAACTTTGGCTGCCAGGGATAGGAATTTACAATGTTAAAATTCTTAAAGTTGTCATGAATCCACTGTGTTTGGCTGGTTAAGATAAACATTTCTACATTTAGTTCAGCTTTATATATTTGAAAAAAATATATATATATAATAATAATAAATTAATATTTTTGTAAGTTTGTTTTTTCACTCAAATATTAATTATGAATTAAATCTTTAAAAAAACTGCCTGTTTGTCGTATTCTGTTTGGTGTATTGTAAATTGGATCTATACCCCGGTTCTTAGAGCTTGTCCTTCATAAACATGTCTTGGGAGTCATGTCTCATCAGTGAATTGCTTTATTGAGAGTTCAGACAAATTTAACAACAGGCCCACTTAAAAAAAAGATCTGGTACTGAGGATCAACGTCACAACAATACACGGAGTAATAAAAAGGGTTTCTAAAATGTCCACAAAACCCTGTAATGAGTGAACAATCAGCTTCCCTTTGACTCCTGACTTCAACAACAGAAAAGACAGAAAGGAGCGGCTTCGTTGCGAGTATTAGTCACAGTAATAAGATTGCTCTGCTGTGTATTGCACATGTGAACACAATGATGCACTTTTTATTTACATGTGAGCCGACTGGAACTACACACGTGTTGTATCGCCGCGACAGGAAAGCCTCTGGATAGAAACGAATGAAAAACAACGGCACGGACAGAAGAAATAGTCAGGAATGTGCTTGTGATCAGCGCCAGATTTCAGCCACGAACGACAAAAACCCAAAAGGAGGTATGTCCCAAAAATACAGCCTCCCCCCGGGATAAGAGCGGGACATTACAGTTAAACCACAGCATCAAACATATCAAGACATATACAGAATTATGCGCAAAAGAGTCCCAATTGTGTGAAAGAGAGAAGGTAGTGTGCGTTTTTGTCATTTGTGATCATTTGGTGGTGAATAAAATCAACATTGAACTGACGTGGGGAGACTATAAATCCACGACAATGTATTTGAGAAACAGCATACCGTTACAAAAGACTTATGTATGAATTGGTTTTTTTACAAATTTGGCTCAAAAATCAGACTATATATAATCAGGCCCAGCTCGTGCTTCACTTTTACCCACCACCAACGAAACAAATGAACGTAGTTGAACAATAGTACAAAAATACCCATCTCAAGATTGTGGAAATGAGGCTCAATGTTTCACTACTTAATATCACTTTGAAAAATGACGTCAGTTTGCATTGCAGTCTCACCAACGTTACATTTAGTGCGACGTCATAGTGTTGTGATGTCGCCGGTTTGGGGAGCGTCAGCATAGTGGTTCAACACAAACATTCATGAACCAATAGAAAGCAAAGCGTTTGAATGAGTCCTGATGTATTTCTGGTTAAGTAAAGCACAATTCTTCTAGCGTTTGACCTTTTCTTTTTTGAATTTCTTCATCCACAGCAGACGTCCAGAACAGTCTTTCGCAGCCTTAAAGCATTCTACAACAACCTGCGTCAAACGAACCTCTCCTACGCACACGTTCAAGTCCAGGAATGTACTATTTGAAAACGGTATTAATGGAGCTCGAAACGGCAGGTGAATAGCCCCATGGGAGTATCAGGCGATCCACTAACATCGCAATAGAAATAATGGCATAATCAAAAATACTTTCAATGAGTGTGTTTGATGTGAGACGTTATACTACCTGAGCATTGTTCATTGCAACAAAAGGCAAATCCTCTACAAATGGCAATGGGACTTTGAGAGATGAAAACAACTGAACTATGCTGCATGTAAGATTCAATAAGAGTATTTATGATGAGGAAACACCACTATGACATGGTTAAAAAGTAATTCAAGTAATAAAATCGCCTCATGATAATGCAAATCTATATTGTAAATTGCAATTATATTATGTGCATATTTGGTAAAACATCAACAAAAATATGGCTTTAGAAAGGTGCAAAAATATTGAATGGCTTCTATAACAACGCTTGGTTAATTCATGAGCGGAGTGCAGCTTCGTCGCCATACTCTGTGTGCTGGAGTCTGTTATTGCTTCATTATAGTGATTCAGATTGTGAGTTTTTATGTGTGGATGTTTGTGGCATAGTTCACCTGATACTCACATGGTGCTTTCGACCGGTTTGGTAAAAAAGAACAGAGCCTGCTGCTGTCCCAGTCTAGCAGAAGAGGAGGACATGAGACAAGTGTCCTGTGCCCAGTATGTTGTGCCCAGGGTCCTGTGAGAGATTTATGGTCCTTTGACTTGTGTAACAGACACACGGGTCAAATGAAGGCAGAGGAGGCACACTGAGCATGAAGTGAACGATACTGTTGCTATGACTGCTCTGTGCACTTCTGTCCTGTCAGTGCATCTGAAAAGACTTATGTTTTCAGATAAAACATCAAGATAATTCAGATCAAGATAAACTGGTCTCTGTCAACAGAAATGGGACATGTACATGTATGTCTGCAGACTCTTATTACATTTTAAAACAATTATTGCTTGTCAATAGGTTTGGCAGGGCTTTAATTTAGCATGTGTGTGTATTCCTCACAGAACCCCAGCAGCCTCATACTGAACATGGATCACGTGGTTCAGCAGCTCAGGTGTATGGCTGGTATTGGCCTGTGGGGGCAGCGCTGCTCCTCCAGCAGTTGTCAACATGTGTAAACAGACGTGGTCTGAGCCCTAACGTGTGCTTACGCCCATCCTCACAACACACTGTAAAAAAGAACCCAGAGAGTAGTATCTGATACAGGAACAATATTTACATCCAACAGGAACAATGGTGGAAAGAGGGGCTGTAGTCACGTGATGAGCACTGGATCCTGAGGCACCTTCACCAGCAGAGACGCCATCAAACGCTCCAAGAATATTACAATTAGCAATTTAGTTCTGTACAGGGTTTTGGTCGTCCATCCTCATTCCCCAGAACTGAACTGGTGTATTGAAAATGGAGTTTAAACTCCCTCCATGTGCAAAATCATGTACACAATCGTGTACACACAATTAAACAACATTATGACAACATTTTGAATAGATCTGAAATACATAATTGGTTAATGACTAATTGAAAAACTTATTTCCAAGTTAACCACTGACTTAACCACCAGGAGATATACAAAACATTCATGCAATGAAAGGAGCTTTTAACAAGCAGCTTTATATTTGTGGTTTTCTGGTGGTACAAGAGGTTTTTTTTTTCTTATAAATGCTTTGCGATTCCTTTTTTCTGTCTATGTAACATTCGTTGTGCAGACGTCTGGGCCCAGACCCATGGTCAAATAAATATTTATACATATTTAAGATTGCGTTAAAAAGGTACACTGTCATTATAATATTATGGACTATAACTATATACAGTTGTATTTACATTAAGTCATATTCAGTGGAGATGTTACATGGCGCTCTGTGGAGAGGTATGATGGCTTCAACTGTAAGTGGGAATACTCAAAGAGACAGTAGATGACACCTCACTCCTGTGGTCACTAAGAACAAATTAAGGCATCGACATGAAGAGAAGATGAGGTGACACTGACCGTGGTGAGAGTGAGCATGAGGCTGATTGGATCTTTGTTTTGTTGTGTTTTTTGCTGAGGTGTTCTGGCGGTGGTTTTTTGTGGTTTTCAAATTCAACAGTTTTTTTCTGTGGACAAAAAGGCACCAAGTTCATCAAGTTCCTCTGATCATATCAGAGTTTTTCCTTTTTGTCTCAATCTGCCCCAAAGACAGTAGCTCAGTGGACAAGTCGTCCACATGCCGCCTGTTCAAAGATGACTGAAAGAAAAGGACAAAGTCAAAGCTCAGCACTGAAACGACTGTCCTCTCTCTGGTTGCCATGGAGATGCCAACAAGTCGTTTGCTCCTCTTCAACCAGAACAAGACCACTGTTTGTGCCATGCACCGGTCAACCCTCCTGCAGCAGGTGACTGAGCACCATGAAGGCAGAAAGAAGAGAGGCACCACACGGAGGCGACACTTTACATGAGTCCTACACAACAGGCTCCTGCTCCATGGGCTCCTCTGTAGACCTGCACACACACATTAGAGATGGAATAATATATATTACTGTGACCAACATTACCACAGCATGACAGAAAACTACTGAGCTGCCCATTATATTTAACGGAACAAAACATTGTTTATCTTTCAGAGAGATTTCTGTTGGACTTGGAGATTGACAGATCAATTGTCCACATCATTATTAGGTTCATTCATGATAATACTTTTTAGACATTTCTTTGGATATTTACATTATTTTAGGGATGATAGGGGCACATACACACAAAGCTGTGAGGAGTGCTGTAGTTAAGTATGGTTATTGTCGCAAACCCATCCTGCATTAGAACCTCCAAAAATCGAGACAAATGTTCTATTTCAAGAGCTTTAAATAATGTGCAGTTGAATTGGCGTTGGCCCAGACCTGCTGGTGTGGGAGCTGTCAGGCACAGAGCTGGATTCCACGTCCACACTGAGAGAGGCCATCGCACTGACAGTCTCTGCCTCGTCCCTCTCCGACTGCCCCTGCGGAGCGTCCAGCTGCATGTGTCCTGTGGGCGGGGGCAGGTTGTGCAGACAGGGCCAGTGTTTACCTGAGACACAGCACAGTCAGAAGTCTTCACACATCACACTGAAGAAAAGTATTTTCAATCACGGTGCTTACTCTGGATGTCTATGACGGCTTCTAAGGACAAGGACGCCTTTGGACACGGCTGCTCCTGAGGCCACTGGAACGACTCGCACTGACACAGGCCACACACATGTTAAATCAGTGAGGAGAACTCATGTGCCTCAAGAACCTAAGCAGTGACATGTTGCCATGGAGATGTAGCTATACTTATTTAGCTTGGAGTGATTCTGAGATATAGCTGGTTGTAGTTTGGCAATGGCGAAGAATGCAATTGTAAAGTAATCCGTTCTGGTTCAATCAAGAAATTGAAGCTGGAGCAAGAGGAATGTTTAGCAAATGTAATTGCTGGAAAAGACTGTGGCGCTACTCCCCACGAGTTAAATGCTAACAACTCACTCAGATGCATTACATACATCACGGTTAACTCAGATCCAATCATTTCAATCTGCAAAAAGATTTAACCCTTCCCACCTGTTAACGGAGCTCAATGGAACAAATCCAGACCTTAGTATGAATGTGGTACGACCAGGCTAGACCAGTTTATAACATGGGTCCTGAGTGTGACCCATAAGAAGATGAAGTGACAGTGGGACGTCTCACCGGTTCTCCCAGCAGCGCAGACACACACGCCTCAGAGGCGTCACAGATGGCAGTGAGGTCATGACCGCCTTCCAGCGCCATAACAACCCGCCCACCAGCGAGACCCATCAAGAGCTGCGTCAGCTGACCGAAACCTGCCCACAAACAACATCCGTGTTAATTTGTCATCACAGGCCATATGGAGCAGACACCTTCAGCTCACCATGGTTACCAGGTGAGCACTTACATTTAGCGGAGACCTTGTACCCCCCCAAAGGAGACTGATGCCCCTCCACTGCGTCGAAGCCTGCTGATACCAGCACCACATCAGGGCTGAACTGCTGGGCAACAGGCATGACCACACTCCTAAGAGACAAAGACAAAGTTACATCCATGTTAATAAGAATAATGCATCGGTTTTATATAGCGCTATATGTCCTTATTCATTCAGTTTATACACAATGGTGGTAAGCCATTACTGCAGCCACAGCTGCCCTGAGGCACACAGGGACAATAGCGAGGCAACCAGTATGTGGCATTGGCTCCTCCGACCACCACTAATTATTCACTACACTCCGGAATCATTCTAGGCAATGTAGGTTAAGTGTCTTGCCTAAGGACACAACGAGACTTTGGCACCTTACAGCCGCAGCAGCCTCCTGTTTCACCTAGTGTTTTCAGAGGTCTCCCATCACAGTACTAGCCAGACCCTACCCTGCTTATCTTTAAAGCTCTAGCAGGATTTGGCTTCCAAATAAAGTTATGGCGATGTGATGAAATAAAAAAGCGTGTGTTGTCATTGCTTCACAGACACACACACACACAGTCACGTGCTTCAGTGGTGTGTGCTCCAGCAGCTCACACCTCAGCACAAAGAGCACACTCAGCTGCTATATACCAACAACAGGGGCAACAAAAAAACAAAACAAACAAAAACAGTTTGAAGCAGAAATAATTTCAAGAATAAAATGTTATGTTTATTATGTTAATTGTACAGTCACTGGTAAGTATTGTGTTATTAGAAGTAATTCAAATAAGGAAACGAATAAATGATTTACTAAACAATATTTTTGCAACCCCCACTTTGAGCACCGCCACAGTGATCAGCTAGTTTTCATTTTCTTATGTTTTCTTGTTGTTTTGGTAAAAGCACCACATGACTTTAGAATCTGCAGACTCAGTTTACCTAAAAGCACTGAGGTACTCCACGTCCCCCATAGGAGGATCCACTCCTCCAGTCCATGCGATGTTGACGTTGAAGCCCACTCCGGCTCCAGAGCCCACCTGCACAAGGACACATGTTACACTTCATGTTACACTTCATTCTACACTTCATGCTACACTTCATGTTTCACTTCATTCTACACTTCATGTTACACTTCATGTTACACTTCATGCTACACTTCATGTTACACTTCATTCTACACTTCATGTTACACTTCATTCTACACTTCATTCTACACTTCATTCTACACTTCATTCTACACTTCATGTTACACTTCATTCTACACTTCATTCTACACTTCATTCTACACTTCATGTTACACTTCATTCTAAACTTCATGTTTGAGTGGAGTCACTCAGCGACAGGAGCAGTACCTCCTCAGGGGCGCCGCTGCCAGGGAAGAAGTTCCCGTCGTCGTATCGGTGCAGGGAGATGTAGAGGACATTGGGGTCGCTGTAGAAGGCCTGTTGGGTCCCGTTGCCATGGTGAATGTCCTGCAGTTTTGACCCGTGTTATGTTATGCAAGAAGTTCATTGTGAAAATGCTTGTCATGCTCAATATGCTGAGAGCTTACCCAGTCCACGATGAGGACTTTGCCCACTCCCAGTTTCTGTCGCAGTAACTTGGCTGTGATGGCGACTGAGTTGAAGAAGCAGAAACCCCTGTGGCAGCGAGATGAGAACAGATTACAAACAAGCACAGATTAAAGAAGAATAAGATCTACGCTGAGTGCTGTATACTGACATGGCGGTGGACTCCTCCGCATGGTGCCCTGGCGGTCGTACCACTGCAAAGCCATTCTGGGGAAGACATAATAAAGACACTTCATAAAATACTGTAGGTGTATAAATACAACTGGCCTTTCAGGCCTACTTTCCTAAAGTATCAAACACAACTCTGAACTCTTTGGAGAAAAAAAGCCAATGAGAAGCTTACACTCTTAGGGTTTGGCCCTTTCTAGTTTAGGTAAGTAAAATCACATTCCTAAAACATGTGTACTAAATGGAGGAGTGAAACTGCTGGTCCCAAAAAGGATCGTCTGAAAGACATTAGAATGCTTTACTATGAGCCGCTTGCCCTTTTATTAGATAATGGACAAACAAATGAAAATGCAGACATCACATAAATGGGTAAACGCTGCTAATCTCTTAACTCAAATAATGAAAGACAAAAAGCATTACTTCTGCCTCAAGTGCAGAGAGAATGTGTAGGTTTCTAGTTTGTGTGTGTGTGCCTCCTGGCTTTCTGGGACAGAGCATAAGATTCATCATCGAATTGTGTGTGTGTGTGTGTGTGTGTGTGTTTTACCTTGAGCTCCCCCGCTGCCACTCGAAAGGCCAGCTCAATAACAGAGCCCACTGCCATGCGCACAGCCGCTGAAGAGTGCATCTCATTCCACACTGTGTCACTGTCCACCTGTAGGGGGCAGAAGATGGTCAGCGTGTTGTTACGAAAGCAACTTTTGCATCGTCCTTTGAGGGAATTGGCCCAAACTGTATTGCCTGCACTCCCAATCTTCCAATCTTTCATTACAATGCCTTGTAACGTATTCATATCCTCCTGTGGACTCACCACATGCAGGAGGATCAGTCAGGGGCTGCTTTCACTTCACATTATTCTGTCACTCTGTTTGTCTTTCAATTCATGGTATGGGATTTGATACTTTTGCACCTTGGTTGCACAACTGCACTATTCACCGATTCATGCTGTTGACGCCATTTATGTGAAAATGTAGGATCTTGATTTCAGGATGTTTAGGCCCAAAGTTATCCTCAAATATAACTTCACAGAGTTAACAAATCACACAAGAATCAAACAGCAGTAGTCCAATTATGATTCATAGTCTCAAGGCTACAAGTGAATATGTGAGAGGCCAATCTCTTAATAATTATTAAAATATCTTGGTTTCCTGAATAATAAATCTGATTGTGAAAAGCTGAATTTGATCTAATCAGACTTGTTCTCCTTTTTTGTTAGGTTTTTCCATCAAAAGGAAAAGTATCTTACCCCAATGCCGCCACAGGGGAGAACAGCGTACATCTTCTGGCTGATTGGACCTGAACAGTGCACAGGGGATGGATCAGTGTACAGTAATGGCTGAGTATCAAAACAAAGCAGACAGGCAGAAGGAACAGTACCAAGCAGCTTCTTGTGGTCTAGTTTGTGTCGGTTGAGCGGACTGGTGCCATAGAGCAGGGTGTGGAACTCTGAATGGACCGTCTGGATCTCGTCCAAAGACGCCTTCCTCCCACGGATCCTCTGCTCACACAGACAATGATGAGTACGACTTAAGCGCTTTTTTTACTTGCAGAGCACAGAGGAAAGCAACAGGATATTTGGCATTTCACTCAAATACAGAGAAACAGTATTTCCCAGCAGATGGGGCAGCATTATGCATGTATGCCTTCAGCAGTGAGCAGAGAGTGAGAGCTTTTAGAAGTGATATTATAATTATTATAAGTAGCCAGAGGTGGGTTCATCAACCTTTAAGAAATAGAACAGTATGGATGATAATATCTTAATTGGAATCAGAACAAATGTTTAAGTTTAGAGTAAGTATCAGACCTTTGTGAGACTGTAAAATGTTCCCAAAGGGCCTAAAATACCCGGTATTTCAACGTTGTATGAGAGGAACCCCTCTCTGTCCAAAAAACCTTAAACCTTAAATGTTTTTATATAAGCTCAAGAAAAAAGTTCTCACAATAGCTATGAGTCATTAGTGTATACGACTGGCTACAATTGTAGAACTTTTATTATTAAGTTGTGAAGTGGTTGTTGTGCTGTGTACCTCGCAGCGGCTCAGGAGGCCGGTCTCCTGCAGACGGGACCAGATGCTCTGCACTCGGCCCGCATGCTCTGGGTGGATGTGAGCGTTCCCACAGATGCACTGGTGCTTCAGCATCAGACTGTCGTACACCAGCCCTGCAGACACAACACACTCACAGCTGGGACCATGGGCCACTTCACTCATTAATGCTTTAATCCTAAATACTTTCTTTGAAGAAAAGCCCCTCTTCATAACATCAATAATTACTACATTTAGTACAGGGAAAATGATCTTGGGTCAACAATACAACTATTCTGATACTGAACAATGATTATTATTAATGGGAGTAAGTCAGGGCACTCTTGAGATGTTGGACAGCATACTGTTGGCTCTATGTTGCCAGGCAACAGGCCCCGTGGCGTTTGTTAGCGATTTTAAGTGAAGTGTCGTCCAATCACAGCTCAGCTGCACGAGCGGCACACTGACCAGTGGTGAAGAGGTGTTTGACGGTATTGACAGTCGCTGTGGCGGGAGATGACTGCGTTCTGCCCAGAGTTCTGTGGGGTAGAGCTGACTGGAATACTCCGCCCTGTTGCAAGGCCTGATGGGAGAAAAGACAAATTATGAGTCATCACTGAAGCATTAATGAGAGCACACTTCATTTGGTGGATTCATGCAGAACTGAAAGGCCACTTTCATTCACTTAGGAGCAAGGATCACTGAAGGTCGCTTCCACGCTGGATAATGTAGATTACATATATTCATACAAACATGTCATTCACAGAACTCTAACAGAAACACTCCTCCTGTTATGTTTCTGTCATAGTCTGTGTACCTTTCCCACCATGACTGACCCTCACTAGTTTGACCCTTTGTAGAGACGAGCGACCTCACACATTAGATGACAATTGTCCCTGTAGTCTGGGCCTCTAATGACCATCGTCTTTTAGCCACTTTGACCGACTCCTCCTGCATCTCCACTTGTCTATATATAGCTGGCGTTGCTGTGGCCCTGCTGTGCTGGAGGTGACTCATCAGGAGTGGGTGGACAACTAAAAACGCACAGCTACGCAGCGGTGCGTCCAGTGGTTGAGTCACTACTTGATGATGTCACAGCCGTGTGTCCAGGTACAGCTGGACTGACACCGACCAGCGACGCTTTCACACTTTTAAAAGTGCATTAAAGACAAAAAAGGCTGCAGCAAACATCCAACAGTTTCATTCAAATTCTCTTTTCCCCTCTCTTTCAGTGAAATGTCAGCTCTCACTGCCGGTGAGTCACCCTCCACTCAAAGAGCATGAAACGTATAAATTGATCAGAGAATTAGAAACTTAAAATCTTCTGGAATCTGGGAATAAAATAGTCTGTGGAAAAATGTGCATCTAATACTAATCACTATACTGTATTATAAAGGACAGGCTCAAGCCACAACACATTCATGAACAAATGTTTTAAAGTTGGAACTTGAAATACTGTCAGGGCCAACAGAACTCACTTTGAAACTAATTTTGAAATCGTTCAATTTGTGATACAGTGTTCCGAAGTGCTTTGAATCAAATGTCAGATGAAAAATACAGTACAATAATCATCTTGGAAAACTATTACGCTGACTTTGGTTAACTGCTAAACAGGTTTGTGGGGTCAGAGCTGTTCAAAAATGCTTCCTCTAAGTCAGAGAGAGCCCGCACCAAAATCACAATCAGTGTATGTCGGTGTTAGCCTGGTCGTACCACACCATAGTACAAATTACATGCAGTGAAATGATGATTGAGCGGAGTGTACGGATGGCTAAAGCAAGGCCACGTTGGTGTTTGTTCTTAAATATATTCAGTGTTTTCATAGAGTCCATCTCCCCATACCTCATAAAGAGTATTTTATATTTTCTATTTTCAGAGGAATCGTACTTTAGGTCTATGATTCCAGATAATTCTACAAGATAAACGCCTCTTGTTTCTCATGTTACATGAGGGGTTAATAAAACTAACAAATATTATTTGCTTATTTAAGCCATGTGGATCTATTTCTATTGGCTGTGTAACATGTGTGCTCTGTCAATCAAACAAGGGAAAACATCCCAGATGGCTTTACTTTTTGCACTCTCTCCGTGTCAGTACACTTCCTCAGAGATCTTGTTGTTTAAACGTCAATTAGTCAAACTAGTAAATGTAACTCACTTCCAAAAGCCCTATTAAAACTCTGCCTCCTCAGCCTCCCTTCGGCTCATCTGTCAATCACACTGCACCCACTCAACACCGTTATATAAAGAACTAGTTTGACTGTAAATTGGCTGCCAATTCAGGCTCATATTAACATTTTATATTATTCTGTTAGGCATCAACTGTATGCCAGCGAACTGTCAAACTGATGCAAAGAAGAAACATTAAGTGACATTTCTAACCTTCAAATCATGTCCTTTTTTCTGAATTTCTCTAAAATATCTAACCTGCAGTCATGAAAATCATACTTTTTTGTACTTACTGAACAGATTCAAGTTTTATCACTATTAAAAATACTACAAGAAAGGAGTATTGCATTGACTGGAGAAACCTATTGTTTATGTGGCGATAGTAGGAGGGTAAAAGCACCTGAAGGAGCCGGCGTTCAGATGAGTCACAGCTCTAGCGCATAACTACCTCAGCCATGGAGCTGAACAGTGGGCCCCGAGCTGCAGAGGTGGGCTGCAGAGCTACGCTATGATGCATTTAGTGTTTATGACACCGTGTAAACACTACTTCTGTTGTTTTAACAATCAACAAGTCGGGAAACACATAGAACAAGCCATTTTAAAGAAGTTTGTCCTCACACAGGGCATTCAAATCTGAAATCAGTACATTAAAAGGGGTAAAGATATAATCCTTCAGTTGTATGCACAGCTAAACAAAACTGTTTTTAACCTGGATTCAAAAAATATCACAGAAGAAGCCTCTCTCACATTTTCAGGAAGACTGTTCCATATTTTGGCTGCATATCTGAAATGCTGCCTCCTGAATCTGGCGCCAGCAGAACGCCAGGAGGTACATTAGGCAGTAACATGTCACAGATGTACTTTGGTGCAAGGCCATGGAGAGCTGCCTTAAACTCTATTGAGTAGTATTCATGTTTGTAACCTGTGTTGCAGCAGCAGCACTGCATTATGAAGTGAGCTCCACACACCTGATTGTAGCCTCGCTCCTCTTCGTCGCCCTCCCTCAGCTGGATTACGTCATCGTCCTCTTCCTCCTCGTCCAGCTCGCTCTCTGTGCTCTCTCCCTTCACGTGCACGCTACCTCGCTCCTCCTCGCCCTTCACGTGCACGCTCAGTCGCTCCGATGAGGACATGCTCTCGTCAGACCCTTCCTTCTGGAGTCTGCACCAAACATAGTAATGTAATGCGGTGCTTAGATCGTAATTTACTACATCATACACCAAACTCAAAGCCGTTTCACAGGTCTGTAATATTAAACCACAAATTATATTATTTAAACTTAATTCAACTTGTCCCCATACCTGTAATGCCGGGGACAAGCATCGTCCTCCTGCATGTCATTGGTCTCTGTTAGCTCCTCCTCCGTCTCTTCAGGATGAGTCGGTGGGGGCCTGGGAAGCTCCGCCCCCTTGGACAACATCTGAGAACACAGGGAACTATATGTTATATACTAATATTAATTTCACAAGCTTCCTCAGTCCATACACATATAATACCAATAATGGCTTGATAGTTCTTGATAAGAAGACAAATTGTTGGTGCTCTGGTGCTTTGCTTCGCATCCCCACACACACCATGAATACAAGGAGTCGAGCCACCATTATGAGGAAAAGGCACCATAGCGAACCCACTCAGACTAAGCCAGGGAAGAACCGATCCAGTTCTGAGCCCCACTTTGGGAACCCTCGCTCCAGACCACTTGTTCTCATGGTTTTACAACACCTCCATTGGCCGATACTGGAGATACAGGAGTTTGGTGGCACCTCTTGTTATTTGTCACTGCATCACAGTGTGATCCAGGGTCCATACTCTGTGTGCAGTGTGTACCTTGTAGTGTTTCTCCAGGAAGTGCTGGTGCTGCTGCTGGACCACGAGCTGCTGCAGAGCCTGGGGCGACTGGGGCAGAGGGGCACTCTGTGTACGGGCCAGAGGGCGGTGACGGGGCAGCTTATTGACTGGACGCATGCTGCTGGACACACCTCGTTCAGCTGTAACCAACGGCGACTGGTTGTACATGGGAACTGTTGGTACAGCAACGTGTACATTTCAGAGCATTCTTTTGTATTTTTTTGCAGTTTAAATTGAGCTTTGTAAAATTAGATTACATATGTTTAAACATTGCATTCATATGCCTTCAACCATTATACTACCAACCAACATTGGAGATATATAATAATAATATTGAGCGTGTACCAGTGAGCATAGCGTTCTGCTGCCGCGCCTGCTCCAGCAGTAACACGTGTTGCAACAAAGAGGAATGGGTCGAATGAGAGCTGGGGGGCGGAGTCTCCACATCATGACCAGCACCTAAATATACAAACACAATTAGTAAGAGTATCTTTTTAAACTAGCAACACTTTTTGTTTTTGTTAATATAATGTATTTACAAATTAATACTATTTAAGTTGAATGAAATACCTGCTGATAGCGAGGATGTCGATAGAAACGTCCCTGTTAAAGCCCCACCACCTCGTAGTGATTGGATGGCTTGAAACTCCGCTTCCTGTTGAGCCGTCAGTTTCTGTGACGCCTGGAGAAAGCAGACGCAAGACTTTACACATTCAACAGAGATCGATTGAGTCATTTACAGTTAGCACTAGAGGTATAATAGAATAATGGAATCAAAAGTAACGTCATGAGAAAATTGTCCTTTGTATCAACAGCACAATCTTGCCAAATGAAGACATACAAGCATATGGGCTCCTAACAATGCATATGGCGGGCCATATTTGCTGACAGTTTGTGTACGTTGTGCGCCTTTAGAAGCGCGTGTGGGAGCATAGGTGTGAAGGAGCCTTACCGTGATATGTGTGTTGGCAGGGAGACCCAGGGAAATATTGGGCAACGAGGGCGATGTGTACAGACTCAAAGGACTCAATGTCCCATCAGCCCCCAGCGTCTGGTGCAGAGATCTCAGCTGTGGACACATCGTCACATATACTTCTTTCAATACTCAGTGGATACATCTTCTTACATAAACACATAATTGATTCACTTTATATCCTTTATTTGAACTTTGCATTTTTACTTAGCCAGCAGTGTGTTTTGCCGAGCATGTTATCGATACAGGGACGTGTTAAGGGTTGAATTGAGCCTTCAATACAACTAATCCACAACAAACACAGTGACAGTAAAACTAAATTATCAAACATGATACAAACCTGATTGTTAACTTTATGGAGTGAGTATTTACAGTTGCTTCTTATTAATAAATACTGATATACTGTATTACACAAGATAAGATAAGATAAGATAAGACTTTATTGATCTCACACAGGAGAAATTTACAGGACTATCTCCTGAATCTATAAAGAATGTTTAACTTACATGTGACAGAAATGTAAACTGAGTCATACATTACAGTCACTGAGAATGAATGTGAATATGTGAGCTTGTGTGTACCTCAGTTTGAATGTTTGGGACAGATCCTGTGTTGCCGTTGGCGATGGCTGAATTGGAGCTGTTAGGACTACTGGGACCTGAACCAGGAGCGCTGTTACACAGAGACGACACTGGAAGAGAAACACAAAATAAAACCATTTTCAAATACACAACACAGCCCTGGAAAATGTTGTTTATAGAAACTCCTTTTAAAGCTGGGGTACCTGACTTCATGCTGCAATAATTTACACTAGATTTGAACTCTCAAATCAGTTTGGTTCTACTACTTTTCACATGCATGTATTTTTGACCTCAGTCACATTTACATCAGATTTTTTAGACAAAAAGGTGGCAGAGAGTACCACCCTTACTCAACCAATCAGCTCTCAGCCCAAAGCATCATAAAGTAGTTTTCTATTAAGATGAAGACTGCATGGCGTGGTATGATTACTTTTACAAGCCTGTTTTTGTTGGGGAAAACAATTCTTAGTTACCCCAGATTTAAAAAAAAATACATAAAATAAAAATCACAAATATTTAGACATTTGTTACTCATAAACAAGAAAGTAGATGTATGATAACAAATATTCACCAGATATTTCTATGGCTCTTTTCTTAAATGTGCTGATGACTGTTCCATCTTTCCTGCGCAGTAGAGGAGAGCTCCGTCGTTCTGCAACTTTCTGCTTCAACCGGGAGCGCACTTTGAGGTTTGGCTCAGACACTGAACAGAAAAGACAGAAAAGAAAGAGAAGAATGTAACTGATGTATCTTTTGCCATATGTGTCACTGGTGTAATCCTATTTGGACTTCTTCATTTGCCAAGTTGGCCAGTGGCATTCTCGTGGGGTGACTTGTGCCAGCACCAGGGCGGATAACATGCCACAACATGTTGCTGGACTGTTTACCAGGTAGATGAGCTGCTCAGCGTCTCTTAAGTAACCTTGATTCGATGAGACTAAATCAAGCTTGTCTCTATTTGAAGGTAGTAAGAAGTAATTGACGGCCTTGTTTACACTTCAGTGACTGAAGTGTAAAGGCCAGCTTCTGGATAGGAACATTGCACATACCGGGACAAAGTGGCTATTAAACATGTTATTTGTTTAATGGGACAGAAGCTGGATGTGGAAAATAGGCAAGGCAAGTTTATTTGTATAGCACAATTCATACACAAGGCAACTCAAAGCGCTGAACGGAGTAAGACAGAGACAATCACACAAGGCATTAAAATAATAAATAATCAGAGTGCATTAAAAAGAGAAAAGATAAAATCCCTCAGTTGTGTACACAGTTAAACAGAACTGAATTTGAACGCTGTCAGAGAAAAAGCCTGTCTCACATCTTCAGGAAGATTTTAGCACCATGAATCTGAAATGCGGGCTCCCCACGTTTAGTTCTGACTCTGGGCACTAGCTGGAGTCCTGCCCCTGTCCCTGTATACTTCACATAACAACATTGCAAAGACCCTGTGGTTCAAAACTGTGGAGGAGGGCACGTGAAACATCTTTGCTGGTCATTATGGTAAAAAGTCAGATGTCTAGTCTCGGTCCCATATCTTATATGTCAGTACATATCAACTGATTATTGTCTCATAAACACATGCATGATATTGGCCGGCCAGTAGACTTTCAAACACAATGCTGGTGTAGATTTTTACATGCTAAAATAATAGACAGTTTATAGGCTCTCAGTTGTAAAGGGATTAGTCCAAACATTACTTCACTTAGCAGGTTTTCCCAACGTTTCGTTCTTCATCCGAAGACCATTTTCAAACTTGCGGCTGAGCGTTCACTCTTGAAAATTTTCTTTGGATGAAGAACGAAACGTCGGGAAAATCTGCTAACTGAAGTACAGATGATGGGTGAGAAACCTTCCTCTGTAATAATAGTTATTACTGACCTGGATACATGTTTAGCCAACATTCCTTATAATATAACCATCTTAACTATTTATAGTATTTGTCATATTTCTTCAAACACTATTACACCAAACGTTTGTTATATAATAAAATGTTGAAGCTGGTACCTGTTTTGCGGAGAGGGAAGTCATCTTTACCCTCATAGTTGCCCAGCAGAGGGGGCAGTTTGTAGGATGGGGGAGTTCCTGGAGTGTTGCTCTGTGGAGGTGAGCCCTGCTCCAGTGATGGGTGCTGGCCTCCCCTGCAAACATTAATGTATAGACTTGAATAAGTTACTCGGCTATCACAGTTTAAGCAAGTCCATAGAACAATAGTCCGTAGTCGTCTCTGGAGCTCAGACTCTGCTTCCTAAAGCCATTTCCTTCATTTCCTAGAATGCATTTGGTGTTATTTCCTGTTTCTATGAATGTAGACATTTTCTGTGTGTCGTTTTATTGCTGTCCTGTAACGCTGCTGTGCGGGCCCATGGTGCAGCAGCTCTGAAGGTCTAAAAGGGAATATTCTATTGTGTTTGATGTTTCAGATCAGTGACACATTTCCACTCTTTGTTTATGTGAGACTGCAAAAACAAACCTGCTCCATTGGACCCACAGCATGAGTGCATTACTCACATTCTAGAACGTGCATGCATAATTGTAATAGTGAAAAGCAGGTAGCATGAGTTTATTGTTTCAGAAGGTGATGACTATTTTAACTTTTATGATCAGCCAAAGGTTGCATGGTCCTCTTTAAACTGTATCACTGCAACACATTCTCTCATTCATCATTTAGGTAAGGTTGTTGTCGACGATTGGACTTCGCTGATGTGGTCTTAGTCAAGAAAAATCAATCAAATAGTGTTTGAATTATAATTACTAGGAATCTACTTTTTACTCTGCTTCAGGTCAATATTTTTAGCAACGTAATTTCTATTGGCTAAATGCCACAATAAAAATGCTTCTGAATTACAAATATGAATTTCTATCAAAACATACTTTGGGGTGGCTCCTTTTATAATTGCTTTGAGGATAGACACGTCATGTTTATGGTTAATCAGTTTATTCTTTAGATGTCTTCAGCACTAATCCTCACCAGCATTTTGGAGAGAAGGAATGGTTGAGTCCACCTGGGCCAGGCTCTTTCTTATTGAGGAGGAACTCTTGTAGCTTCAGCTTGACCTCTGTGCTGGCTATAGCACCTAGAAGACCAGAGGAGAGACGTGTAGGCTGGGGTGGACGGTGTGTGACAGGCCTGTATGAGGAAAAGGCAGGAGGAGGCCTACTCTCTTTGCCCTTGTCCTTGTTCCGGAGCAGAATGAGCTGTTGTTCCAGCCTCTGCTTCTCCTGCTCCTCGTGCCTTTGCTGCTCCAGCTTCCTCTTCTGCTCTAGCTCCAGCTGACGCTTTGCTGCCAGCAGCTCCTGTTGTTGCTGAGCCACATAACATATCATTTGTTAATATCTAAAGCCAATTGGTCAACGCAAACCCCAGCCACATCTTTGTAAGATGTACGTACATCACTAAGTGACGTGGAGGTTAAGCAACAGTGTAGCCGAGAGAGTTTGGACAGTACCTTGAGGTGCTCCTGCAGCTGCACTTCATGTTGTCTAGTCAGAACCTCGTGTTTCTTCTGAAACTCAGCAAACAGGAGCTGTTTCTGGAGCTCTTGTTGCTGTTTCAGAATGACCAGTTCCTGCTGGAGCTGTTGTTCTCTCAGAGCTGTGTCCACCGCCGCAGTGCCTCCAGACAGAGAACTTGGCCTGCTCTCTGTGCGCAAGTCCACTGGGCCTCCTGCTCCTCCAGGCCCCTCTCCCTGACCCCCACCTGGAACACACATCATGGTCAAAACCTCTCCTACTGCTATTGTATTTGAGCCTAATATAAAGTCACCTTAAAGTAATGTTTTTTATTTTTCATTAACAACAAGACACTGACACAATTCCCATTCAATGTTGGATGTAAAATACCAGACCTTAAACTCAGGGGACATGACAAGTTGTTCCCTATTCCAATAATAAAATTTAAAGATGATCATGATTACAAGTCTGCACTTAATTTCCATCACTAACCATCACTGCACACCTGAATCTCAGTTGTGAAATGTTTACTTGCAGTAGACACAATCCTGCTCGTCTGAAATGGGGTTGTTTTCATTAGTTGTAGTCAGATGTTGAGGACTTGTACTCACCAGTGTCTCCAGTGGCTCCTCTCTGCTCCCCAGCCGCTCCGACCAGACTCTGCATGCTGGAGGGGAGGCCGCTCTTCACCTCCACTGTAACAGAGAGCAGAGAGAACTGAGGGACAGCCCGGGACAGCACTGTGTGACTTCAGACACACGCTTCATTCACATGAGACCCCATCACGGTGCAAGCTCAAGTACAGAAAGTCCTCACATCTAAATATAGCAGTGTCCCCACAGTGGCACAGTATACAATTGGAAATACTGTAAGTGCTTCTGTTGATGTTTAAGGCACTCATTGTAGATTAGACTCACACATAAGAGCATACATTTTAGAATGAAAAGCATTTGAAGAAAACTCACTGAACGAATCTCTGTTTTACCAGTTTGTATGTATGTACGGATGTAGGTAAAAATGGCTATGTATATGTATAAAATGTGTTCATTATGCGGTTATTACTTACTGAGGACGAACACTCGCAGCTTCAGCTTTTTGAGTGTGCTGGGAACAGCAGAAAGTCTTAAGTAGCTCTAAAACAGTTGTGGTTTTTGCTTTCAATTTGTTATTTGTCTTGCTTTTTTCTGACTTAAAGGTTGCTGCAGTACAGTGTTCATGATTTTGCACTGGTCCAGACCGGAGCGGAGAGGATTCATGGTCTGAACCAAGCAGACCAGCCAAAAATCCACTGGACGAATGCTAACTTGTTGTTCATAAGAGAAAACGGTCCAAACCAGGCGGCAACACCACCTCTGCTGTCTTGCTCCACCCAGAGGCTACTCCATCTTTGCTGCTGTGACCTGAAGTGCTGTTGCTTATTATTACTATTGTTAGCTTCTTAGAATGATCAAGTCATTTATTTTGTTTGTGTGAATGGATGTGTTTTTAATGCTACTGGACACCTGAATTACTTCTACGGGGATCAATAAAGACCGCGGTGAAGTTAGTTTGAAGTTGGATATCCGACAGACATTCGCCGCAACATTTAAGTGCACCCGTACTACACACAGTACGGTAAACAAGCGGAGACATGTACGCTGGTCTAATATTTACATATAAAAAATCATTAAAAATACTTACAACATTTTAATGATAAAATAAGAGGTGTACCCCCTGTATCTAGTGGATGACTATGATTTTGACCTGATTTGGAGTCAATAGGTCAATAGGACATGACCTGGAAGCTATTGAGCTAAAATGCTAATATTTGCCTTTAAAAATTCATTAAAAATTCTTTAAAAAACTTAAATGACAAAAGAAGAGGTGTACCCCCTACAGCTAGGGGAGGACTATGATCCTGACCTGATTTGGAGTCAATAGGTCACATGACCTGGAAGCTATTGAGCTAAAATGCTAATATTTACATATAAAAAATCATTAAAAATACTTAAAACACTTTAATGATCAAATAAGAGGTGTACCCCCTGCAGCTAGGGGAGGACTATGATCCTGACCTGATTTGGAGTCAATAGGTCACATGACCTGGAAGCTATTGAGCTAAAATGCTAATATTTAAAGCTTTTCCAGGTGGAAGCTTTTAAAAAGGGATTCAAAACCCATCTTTTTACTAAAGCGTACTGCTAATTTTTTATAGTCTTTTATCTGATTTTAATGTGTTTGCTTTTATTTATGCTCCTGTTTGTAGCACTTTGAGATTTGATGTCAAATATAAAGTGCATTATAAATAAAATGTATTATTATTATTATCATTATTATATTTGCCTTAAAAAATTCATTAAAAATTCTTTAAAAAACTTAAATGAAAAAATAAGAGGTGTACCCCCTGTATCTAGTGGATGACTATGATCCTAAACTGATTTGGAGTCAATAGGTCACATGACCTGGAAGCTATTGAGCTAAAATGCTAATATTTGCCTTTATAAAATCATAAAAATACTTACAAAAACTTAAATGAGAAAAGAAGAGGTGTACCCCCTGCAGCTAGTTGAGGGCTATGATCCTAAACTGATTTGGAGTCAATAGGTCACATGACCTGGAAGCTATTGAGCTAAAATGCTAATATTTACATATACAAATTCATTAAAAATACTTAAAAAAAATTAAATGACAAAATAAGAGGTGTACCCTTTGCAGCTAGGACAGGACTATGATCCTGACCTGATTTGGAGTCAATAGGTCACATGACTTGGAAGCTATTGAGCTAAAATGCTAATATTTGCCTTTAAAAATTCATTAAAAATACTTAAAACATTTTAATGATAAAAGAAGAGGTGTACCCCCTGCAGCTAGTGGAGGACTATGATCCTGACCTGATTTGGAGTCAATAGATCACATGACCTGGAAGCTATTGAGCTAAAATGCTAATATTTGCCTTTAAAAATTCATAAAAAATTCTTTAAAAAACTTAAATGACAAAAAAGAGGTGTACCCCCTGCAGCTAGTGGAGGACTATGATCCTGACCTGATTTGGAGTCAATAGGTCACATGACCTGGAAGCTATTGAGCTAAAATGCTAATATTTCCATGTAAAAATTCATAAAAAATACTTTAAAAAACTTAAATGACAAAAGAAGAGGTGTACCCCCTACAGCTAGGGGAGGACTATGATCCTAAACTGATTTGGAGTCAATAGGTCACATGACCTGGAAGCTATTGAGCTAAAATGCTAATATTTACATATAAAAAATCATTAAAAATACTTAAAACACTTTAATGATCAAAGAAGAGGTGTACCCCCTGCAACTAGTGGAGGACTATGATCCTGACCTGAGTTGGAGTCAATAGGTCACATGACCTGGAAGCTATTGAGCTAAAATGCTAATATTTACATATAAAAATTCATTAAAAATACTTAAAACATTTTAATGATAAAAGAAGAGGTGTACCCCCTGCAGCTAGTGGAGGACTATGATCCTGACTTGATTTGGAGTCAATAGATCACATGACATGGAAGCTATTGAGCTAAAATGCTAATATTTGCCTTTAAAAATTCATTAAAATACTTTAAAATACTTAAATGACTCAAAAAGAGGTGTACCCCCTACAGCTAGGGGAGGACTATTATCCTGTCCTGATTTCGAGTCAATTGATCACATGACCTGGAAGCTATTGAGCTAAAATGCTAATATTTACATAAATAAAATTCATTAAAAATACTTTTAAAAAACTTAAATGACAAAAGAAGAGGTGTACCCCCTACAGCTAGGGGAGGAATATGATCCTGACTTTTAATACAGTACAGTTTTATTACATCGGTTTTAAATTTGTTGCATTGGCTTCCCGTGTGTTTCAGGATCAATTTTTAGGTTCTTTCACTGGGTTTTTTTCATGTCTTCATGGTCTTGGGCCTTCTTATTACTCATAACTGCTTTCATCCAAAGAACCATCCCGGTTCTTGCAGCAGACTCCTCCATTACCAAAGCCAGGACACACACTCAAGCTGAGACATATGTAAGTGAGTAAGTAATGTTTATTTATATAGCGCATTTTACAGACCAAGGTCACCCAAAGCGCTTTACGTCCATCACTACGACCCCGTCTCTGGAACAGTCTGCTGGAGGAGCTTGACTAGCACCCTCCTGTCCCTCACCTCCTCCACAGAGTCCAGGGGGCTGTCCCGTTCTGTGCTACCCGGGGCCCAGCACACGGCAGCGTAGTGTATGGCAGAGCCTACCACAGAGTCATAAAAGGTCCTGAGCAGAGGCCTGCTCACTCCGAAGGACCTCAGCCTCCTCAGAAGGACCTCAGCCTCCTCAGAAGGACCTCAGCCTCCTCAGAAGGACCTCAGCCTCCTCAGAAGGACCTCAGCCTCCTCAGAAGGACCCGCACCGCAGCCTCCTCAGAAGGACCGCAGCCTCCTCAGAAGGAAGAGGCGACTTTGGCCCTTCTTGTGCAGAGCGTTGGTGGTATGGGACCAGTCCAGTTTATTGTTTATGTGAACACCCAGGTACTTGAAGCTGTCCACCAGCTCAATGTCCTCCCCCTGGATGTTCAGCAGCGTGTGGGAAAGTGGTTTTATCCTGAAGTTGATTACCATCTCCTTGGTCTTACTGGTGTTAGAACAGGTACCATCTCCTTGGTCTTACTGGTGTTAGCACAGGTACCATCTCCTTGGTCTTACTGGTGTTCAAGCACAAGTGGTTGCACTCACACCAGTCGACAAAGTCCTTGATAACCGACCCATATTCCAGTTCGTTCCCCTCAGACACACAGCCCACGATGGCGGAGTCGTCGGAGAACCTCTGCAGGTGACAGCTGTGTGTGTCGTGTGTGAAGTCTGAGGTGTAATGGTGAAGAGAAACGGTGAGAGGACAGTGCCCTGAGGGGCCCCAGTGCTGCAGACTACCACCTCAGACTCACAGCTGCGCAGCCCCACGTACTGTGGTCGGTCTGAGAGGTAGTCGATGGTCCATACAGTGAGGTAGTTGATGGTCCATGCAGTGAGGTAGTCGATGGTCCATGCGGTGAGGTAGTTGATGGTCCATGCAGTGAGGCTACTGTCCACTCTTGCATCCTCCAACTTCCCCCGCAGCAGCGCCGGTCTGATGGTGTTGAAAGCACTGGAAAAGTCGAAGAACATGACCCTCACAGCGCTCCCTGCAGGCTCCAGGTGGGAGAGCGTCCGCTGCAGTAAGTAAATGACGGCGTCCTCTACTCCGATGTTGGGCCTGTAGGCGAACTGCAGCGGGTCCAGGGTGGGGCTGACCACAGAGCGGAGGTGGGTGAGGATGAGCCGCTCCATGGTCTTCATCAGGTGGGAGGTCAGTGGGAGGTGAGTGCGACTGGTCTGTAGTGAGCCGGTTCCTTGGCGTGCGCTGTTTTAGGAACCTGGATCACACAGGAGGTCTCCCACAGGACAGGGACCTTCTCCAGGCTGAGGCTCAGGTTGTACATGTAGCTGAGGACCTCAGAGACCTCTGAGTCAGTCTGGTCCGGTGTGATGGAGAGGGCGGGGGGGGGGGGGTGTACTGTCAGAGGTGGGGGCTGGGGGTGTGGGGGCAGGACGGCCCGGGGCAGCCGAAGGCAGTGTCCACCGGGCTGGGCACGTGTGAAGAGGTGGGGGAGGGGGGGGGAGAATCAAACTGGTTGAAATATTGGTTAAATTCATCCGCCCGGTGCTGGTCTCCATCCGCTG